ACTCCCAGATCATCTGTGGAAAGTTGCTTTTGGGGTTGTGTCCAGGTCTGGAGTATACTTTGTGTCCAGAGAAACCTACGTGGAAGAAGGGGGCTCAGGCACAGAAGGTGTAAGAGACCTTGAGAAGCAGCACACACATAGCCACACACTCATACTCACAAAAGCAGCACGAAAAGGTGGTTTTATAGGAAACAGAGCAAAATGAAATCTACAGTGCTTAAAATAGAGTTGTTATATTCTCACTCCAGTTCTCAAAAAATATTCCTGGAGTTCATTCTTTGCAGGAAAAATGGTGACTTCTAGACAAAGCTTGCATGCTGATTACACATGACCCTGGGGATGGGTGCTACATTTGTAACAGCTTTTATGTTGGTGAAAATGTGCTTTATATGTAGAATGTGTTCATTAATTACTATAATTTCATACTTACACGCATGCTTTCTGAGAGATTTATAAGTCCCACACACTGTATTTTAGCTCAGTGAACCTTGATAGAAGAACCCTTGTATTAATTATTGTCCAGTCTTTCAGAAATACAGTTCTCTCTTCTTTTTGTGAAAGTTGGCAAAACCTACCAGTATTTTAATGTATATATTACACAAGTATGCACTGTTTTGTTCTTCATTTTATGCTCTTGAAAATAATACAGGGGGCTGGGCATGGTGTCTCACACTTGCAATCCCAGTACTTTGGGAGGCCAAGGCAGGAGGATTGCTTGTGGTGAGGAGTTCAAGACCAGCCTGGGCAACATAGCAAGACCCCATTTCTACAAAAAAATTAAAAATTAAAAAAAGAAAAAAATCATACAGAGTGTAATCAAATTAAAATTTTACATGATACATGAAGGACTTTCACCTGAGTGTCTGTTTGGTGTAGGGCTTTGTAGAGGTTCCATAAGACATGGTCCATGTACTTACAGGATTTGTGATATGCAAAGGGCACCAGAGATTTGTTGACACATCTAAGAAAGGACTCAAATGTAGTACTTTGACTCTTGCCAAAAAATAGAATTCTTATATTATGCTTTAGCTTTATTAGTTATTGAATTTTTCTTGCTTTGGTTTAAAGACCAATGGAATATTATTATCATATCCACCAAAAAATTAACAGTCTAAAATGAGATAAAATATCTTTTTTAAAAAAATTTCCATTTGTGTGGTACTTCATTCATTTAATTCTGTGAACTAAGAATTACCTAAATTTTAGAGAGAACACAAAAGTGCAATAATAGCCAAGATCACAAAAAACATCTAAATATTATATTTCTTACTTGTGTTTAATGTATTTAGAATATTAAAAGACACCAATATGTAGATACTGATGGTCCTTTTCCCAAATCCTATATTCTTTCTATTACATGTACTGTCTACCCCGCACCCCTTTTAATGTTTGGAAACATCCTGTTTCTTAATTGGGTTAAAGGAAGTGAATGAGAGCCCAATCATATTAATTCAGAAAGAAAAATTATTTGACATATTTGAAAACTCTGATTCATTGACCATGAAAGTAATTGTGAAGTTTATGGCCCTTAGAGGGTTCTGATGAGCTCAAGTGTTGTTATTACTGTCTTATCCTTATAAAAATATTTTCCATTTGCAAATTGTAGGGTTTTAAAATATTTTAATAGGAAATATTTCATATAGTCAGGCTAATATAATATATTTGTAAATATAAAGACTAAAATAAACAACCCTATAGATACAGATATAGAACATAAGCCATAGAAATTACTACCACCTTCTGGCTCCGCTAAGACCCTCCTCCTGAAAAAAAAGAGGTAATGACAATATTGAATTTTTGCATTGTTCTAAAGTGTCTTAAGTGTGTTCATCTATATATTTTATTTGTGAATTGAAATCTTTTAATTTTGGGTAAAAGTGATAGTCTCAAAGTTCTAGGAGAAGAGAATATTAAGGAAGAGGAAAAGAATTTCATGTGAATCAAGGAAGTTAACTTACTGATGTGGTCAGTCTCTCTCTCTCTCTCTCTCTCTCTCTCTCTCTCTCTCAACTGGGGAAAAAAGAACAAAGACATAGGATCTGAGAACTAGTCCTTAAGTTGTTCGTGGCAGAATCGGTAGGTAAAGGCTGAATGGAATATGGCTTGAAAGCAAATTTTCTGGAGGCAAAAAGCATTTATTGTAACTATGTTTTTGAGTGGTGAAGATTACTTTAGGGGACATACTGTGTGCCTTGTCATTGTTATGACTAAACCACTGAAACCTGGAATCTGTTTCATGCAGTATGACACTAATTTCCGTTTTCTTGGTAGAGTTTGTGTGCTCATTCGTCTTTTAGGAACTGCAGTCCTCATGGTTCCATCAAGTTTTAAAGGAGTAGATTTTTAAACAATACCTGTGCTGTGATTTAGTGGGGTGACCGTGTTCGTGTGTATGTGCATCTCCATGGAATCCCTTGCTACCTTTTGCTGTGGCAAAGCTGTGTGCAGGGGACAAGCATTGAAGTGGTAGTGCCTTGGCTAAGAGTGTAAACACTGGAGCCAGACTCTCCAAATTCACATCCTGGATCTGCCGCCAGCTGGCTCTTTAGCCAGTAGTAAGTTGTTTAATCTCCCTGTGATGGTTTCTTTATCTGTAAAATGGGGATAATAAAACATCTGCCTTATTGAGTAGTTGGGAACATTAAGTAGGTTAGTAGAAAGTATTTAGGGCTCAGAGTAAGTGTCCATTGAATGTTGGCTGTTACTTAAATCATTTTTAATTTAAATCATTTATTTAAATGTTATTTAAATCATTTGGTTGAAAGCACATTTTTTTTTTTTGCTTAGTTACCATTTGTGTGTGGGGAGATGTTCCTTCTGGAACCATGTCTCCTTGTCACATGATTATGTGCAGCATGAGCCTTGTTAATACTCTGTCAGCATTTGAGGTTGGAACATAAGTGTGTAACTATGCCCAGTGGAATCCAGCAAGAGAGAGGACTAAGCACTGTAGCAACTGTTGCTATTTGTGTCCTGAGCAGCAGCTGTTCTAGACAGATTAGTTTTTAATCCTGATCTCACTGATAGCCTGAGCTGTGGCCCTGCCTCACAGAAGTGGACTGGTTGAGATGTCCAGTCTTTGAGGAGATTTCGTGACCACGTGTCATAAGGATTCTCTTCCATGTGCAGTATAAGGAGCTAAGGCTTTGTGTGTAAGATCAAGGGAGAAATGACACTTCAGCATTCACCATCAGTCTCTGAAGTTTAGTGTGACTTGATGAATTACATGAGAAACCACTTTTAATATGAGCAGTGAGACTTAACACTTTTCAGTCAAAAAGTAATTTTGCTGCTTATAATACTCTACAGATGATTTAGTATCTGTGATTCCACTATACACGCACATATAAATATATGTGTAATAATTTACATTCTTATTATTGTTAGCTGTGGATTTCAGAAATAGGACTATCTTTGCAATGAATGCTTCATTACCAAATACTTTTCTGAAGTAGATAGTGAGATCTTTTTTTTTTTTTTTCTTTCAATTTTTGAGTTGGAGTCTCACTCCATCACACAGACTGGAGTGTAGTGGCATGCTCACGGCCACCCCAGCATCAACCTGCTAGACTTAGGCAGTCCTTGAGCCTCAGCCTTCCAAGTAGCTGGAACTACAGGCACCACCACCATGTCAGCTAATGTTTTGATTTATTGTAGAGATGAGGTCTTGCCAAGTTGCCCAGGCTGTTCTCGAACTGTGGGCTCAGGCAATCCCCTTACCTCGGTGATAGTAAGATCTTTAAAAAGAGTTTGTTTCAGATAGGGATTGGATTTCTCTCTCTCTCTCTCTCTCTCTCTCTCTCTCTCTCTCTCTCTCTCTCTCTCTCTCTCTCTCTTTCTCTCTTTCTCTCTTTTTGAGTAAGGTCTTGCTGTTGCCCAGACTGGAGTGCAGTGGTAGTTCACTGCAGCCTTGAACTCCTGGGCTCAAGCCATCCTCCCGCCTCAGTTTCCCAAAGCACTGGGATTACAGGCGTTAGCCACCACACCTGGCCGAGTGGCTGGATTAATGCAATTCTTTTCTAATTTTTATTCCTGATGTTTAAAAATATTTCTTTCTTTCTTTCTTTTTTTTTTTTTTTGTTTGAGTTGGAGTCTCACTCCATCGCCCAGACTGGAGTACAGTGGCATGCTCACAGCCACCGCAGCCTCGACCTGCTGGGTTCTGGTGATCCCTCTGCCTCAGCCTTCCAAGTAGCCAGAACTACAGGCGCGTGCTACCACACTTGGCTAATTTTTCATTTATTGTAGAGATGAGGTCTTGCCAAGTTGTCCTGGTGGGTCTCGAACCCGTGGGCTCAGGCAATTTACTCACCTTGGTCTCCCAAAGTGCGGGGATTACAGGCTGAGCCACCAAGCCCAGCCTTTAAAATATTTCAAGCCTAATGAGGTTTCTTGAAATAGTAGCTGGGCGCGATGGTTTATGCCTGTAATCCCAGCACTTTGGGAGGCTGCAGTGGGTGGATTGCTTGAGCTCAGGAGTTCAAGACCAGCCTTGGCAACATAGCAAAACCTTGTCTCTACAAAAAAAAAAGAAAAGAAAAAGAATAAATTAGCTGGGTGTGGTGGTGTATGCCTATAGTCCCAGCTACTTGGAATGCTGAAGTGGAAGGGTCGCCTGAGCCCAGGAGGTCCAGCCTGGGTGATAGACTGAGACCCCAACTTAAAAGAAAATAAAGAATAATGTGGCTCATTTCTAAATTGTGACTGCTATCTCACCTAGGGAGGGTAAACATTGCCACAAGATACTTACCGAGTGTCTACCCCATGGCCTATTCCGAATGTTAGTGACACCCAGTAAATGTTGTTAGTGTGATGTTTTTTAAGTTCTGTATATAAATTACCTCTTAAAACTGGGATTATTTTTGTTTTCTGCTTGTCCCATTTGGATTCAATGGCATAAGTTTGCTGGTTGGGATGTTTTGAAAATACACTCTAGCATCATGTATAACTGAAGAACTTGTAACTGAGTGACTTAAAAAAATTACATTTTTATCCTGTAGGTATTATTAACCCAAAGAACCCAAAGGAAGCGCCAAAGTCCTTCAGCTTCGACTACTCCTATTGGTCTCACACCTCGGTGAGTGCCCTCCTACTGCAGTATGCTGCTGCCAGCTCATGCCTTCCATCTCCTTGTTCTTAGGTCTTTTCTCTCAGCCAGAGAGGTCCACATCTTGCTTTTTAAGTGTGCCGTAACATGAGTTCATGTTTTGATGCAGTGAGTACTATCTGAAGAATAAAGTATTTTTCTTAATGAAGTGTTATGGTTGATAGAAAGTTTATGCACTCATATACATATATATAAAACTGGTTTAGTTTACACCAAATTTATAATGAAGCTAAGCTACACTTAATTTATACTGATTTAGACATCCTTTGAGGATTTATTTATAGTATCTTAGGATTCTCATTATGAACGTTGTTGTGCTTATGGATCTTAGGAAGTGCCAAATTAAAGATTGCTTAGTGCATTAGTAATTTTAAGTTGAATTTTGAGTGAATGACTGGCAAGATTGGAATGGCCACAGTGAAAGAATTTGTTTTTTTAAATTGTAGTAGAACAGTGCAGATTTTGAACATTTTGAAAGAGCCTATAGGTCCACAGGAAAACAAAAGATTACCAATATCTAGAAAAATGGAGAGTAGGGCCCTTCAAGGTACCTTTTACTCAGTGTAGAACCCCCAAATCCTGCTGCTTCTAGGGATTGTTCCTAGAGATTACTTCAGCATCTTTCATCTCTTTGTTATGTTTTTGGTTTTATTTTTCTTGTTTTGTGTTGGGAATTAGGAGATGTTTTAAACTACTGCCAAAGCCTGATTGTCAAGGAAGGGGCCTGAGAAAGAGATTCCTCACTGCAAGCTGTATTTATTGAGAAATAGCTGCACTAGCTGGAGTGAGTTCAAAGAAGTATTTTTATAAGTGTACTTGACCTTGGATCTGTTATTCCCACTTTTCACTTAAGAAAATCTTCTTAGAGCTCCCTATGAATGAAAGAGTGATACTTTTAAGATTATAGAAAAGGCTGGGTGTGGTGGCTCACGTCTATAATCCCAGCACTTTGGGAGGACGAGGTGAAAGGATTGCCTGAGTCCATGGGTTCAAGACCAGCCTGGGCAACATGGTGAGACCTCGTCTCTACAATAAATCAAAAAATTAGCTGGGTGTGGTGGTGCGCACCTATAGTTCCAGCTACTTGGAAGGCTGAGGTGGAAGTATCACCTGAGCCCAGCAGGTTGAGGCTGTGGTGGCCATGATTGTGCCACTGCACTCTAGCCTGGGCAAAAGAGGGAGAGACTTCAACTCAAAAAAGAAAGAAAGAAAGAAAGAAATGTAATCATGCCAGATAATTTTATGTATGGCTGCTGTGAATTACTCTAATAGTATGTATGTTTGTGAGTGTTTAATAGTATGTATGTTTGTGTTTGCATGTGTTTAATGAGAAAAACTGTGTAGGGGAGTTAAAAAATATATAGTATATTTTAGGTGACTATTCTGATTCCAGACACTTTTGTTTATTGTGGCAGCAATCAAATACATATAGGAAAAATATGAATGAAAAGCCATTTATTTCTCCTTCTAATCTTTACAGCCTGAAGATCCCTGTTTTGCATCTCAAAACCGTGTGTACAATGACATTGGAAAGGAAATGCTCTTACATGCCTTTGAAGGATATAATGTCTGTATTTTTGCCTATGGGCAGACTGGTGCTGGGAAATCTTATACAATGATGGGTAAACAAGAAGAAAGCCAGGCTGGCATCATTCCACAGGTAAAAAAACAAAACAACTAAAAACCTCTGTTTATTATTATTTTTAGTCTTATATTGTTTTAACAATCGTTTTTATTTGGCAGACATTTATTCAGGTACTATTTTAAGCAAAGTACAAAGATGAACAACCTGTCTCCATTCAGAGCAGCTACAGTTGAGGGGAAAGGATTGGTGTACACATTTCAATGTTTTGTAAAGATTTTGCCATATATGTGCCCACTTGTATACCTAATCCTTAATTGTACCCTGCACTTTAAAATAAAATATATTTAAAAAGGATAAAAGGCATTTTACCATATGCCCAATGCCATGTTATTTTCTCTTTTGAAAAGTGTCACCAGCTTCTTAAAAGCTCTGTTCTGAATCCTGGGGATATCTGAGCATTGTTGATGTGATTTTTTTTCAAATTTCATATATAGATCACCTCTAAAGAAAGATTATTTTTTATTTTTTTAATTTATTTTTATTTATTTATTTGAGGGACAGGGCCTTGCTCTGTTTCCCAGGCTGGAGTACAGTGTTGCAGTCATGGCTCACTATAGCTTTGACCTGGGCTTAAGTGATCTTCCTGCTTCAGTCTCCCAAGTAGCTGGGACTATAGGAACATGCCACCACACCTGGCTAATTTATTTTTTATTTTTTAGTAGAGATAGGGTCTCACTCTTTCCTATGCTGGTCTTGAACTTCTGGTCTCAAGCGATCCTCCCACCTTGGCCTCCCAAAGTGCTGGGATTATAGTCTGAGATTTCTTTTTTTAAAAGAGCAGCTATTTAATAGTGTTATTTCTTTTGATCTTTTATTGTTTGGAGGTGGAGAAGAGTTCTGATATAGGTATTTAGAAGGAACTTCATTTTTTAATAATGGGACTGTAGTTTGCTTATTAATGATATTTGAGTTAATCTTAAAGTGTTCTTTTACTGCAGGCCTAATGCTACCATCTCTATATTCTGAGACTAAAATACATAAGTTGGCTACTTTTTCTAACAGATTGTGGACTATGATTTTAAATTCAGGTATATAATTGGAATGCTGAATTATTAGTAAAGATAGAACATTTTCAGGAAAAAAATGAACACACTAGTTTTTTTTTTTTTTGAGTTGGAGTCTCACTCTGTTGCCCAGGCTGGAGTACAGTGGCATGCTCACAGCTACTGTACCCTTGACCTGCTGGGTTCAGGTGATCCTTCCACCTCAGCCTTCCAAGTAACTGGAATTACAGGCACACGCCACCACTCCTGATTAATTTTTTGATTTATTGTAGAGATGAGGTCTCGCCAAGTTGCCCAGGCTGGTCTCAAACCTGTGGGCTCAGGCAGTCCTCTCACCTCGGCCTTCCAAAGTGCTGGCATTATAGGTATGAGCCACCATGTCTGACCTTGCAGATTTTTTAATAGTAAAAATATGTCTGTATTAAGAAATGTATTTGGAACTTGTTCTTCTTTGTATATAAAAGTAGCAATATTATTAATTCAAGAAAACATTATGTAATACTCACTATGTGCCAAGCACAGGTCTAAGTGCTTTACAAATATTAGCTCATCTGGGCCAGATGTGGTAGTTCACGCCTGTAATTACAGCACTTTGGGAGACTGAGGGAGAAGGATTACTTGAGCCTAGGACTTTGAGACCAATCTGGGCTTCATAGCAAGACCTTGTCTCTTCAAAAAATAAAAAAGTTAGCTGGAGATGGTGGTGCATGCCTATAATCTCAGCTATTCAAGAGGCTAAGGCAGAAGGATCGCTTGAGCCCAGGAGTTTGAGGCTGTGGTGAGCTGTGATCATGTCACTACATTCCAACCTGAGTGACAGAGTGAGACTGTGACTAAAAAAACCCAAACAAACCCTGAATTGTACCCCACATATTCAACAACAACAAAAAACTCAGCTGAACCTCCTCATATAACCCTAAAGAAGTAGGTGTTTTTGTAACCTCCATTTCACAGACAAGGAAACTGAGGTACACAGGGTTCATTTCATTTGCCCAAATAAGTGACAGAGACAGGATCCAAATGCGGGTAAGGTAGTTCTGAAGCTTTTGCCTTTATCACTATGTAATACTTTTTTTTTTTTTGAGTTGGAGTCTTACTCTGTCACCCAGACTGGAGTGCAATGGCCGCTCCCGGCCACTGCAGCCTCGACCTGCTGGGCTCCGGCAATCCTTCCGCCTCAGCTTTCCAAGTAACTGAAACTACAGGCACGCGCTACCATGCCTGGCTAATTTTTTTGATTTATTGTAGAGATGAGGTCTTGCCAAGTTGCCCAGGCGGGTCTCGAACCCGTAGGCTTAGGCAATTCACTCACCTTGGCCTCCCAAGGCGTGGGATTACAGGCAGAGCCACCGAGCCTGGCCTGTAATACTTCAGCAACAAAATTATTATTTGTAGATTATAGTAGGTTATGCTAACTGGCCGTATTTGTTTTAATCTAGATGCCACACTTGTTTTTCTCTCTTTTCCTTTAACTTTAATTTATTTAATATTGGAGTTCTTCTGTTATTGGATATGTACCTCTTTTCTGATCAAAAAGCATAGTTTTTAAACAAGATTACTTTTAGAAATTGCTATTTGCAGTAAATTTTAAATTCCATTTAGGCTTCTAGAGATTCATTTTCAAAATATACTGCCTAAATGTATGATTGTCATTATCATGTATGATCATCTTAATACTAAAGATATAGCACATGAAATGTTAGTAGAATTTTCAAAAATTATATTAAAATATCTCATATTTTAAATAAGAAATCCAAGGGAAGGGAGGATGAAGCTTACAATTTTCCCAATCTAGAAAAATTATTGTTTCCTCTTAGAAATGTTATTGTGTAGTATTATGTAGTAGATAGCATCTCACAAAAGAATGGGATCTTAAGACAATGGTAAAGGAAGAATTTCTAGCATCATAATTATTCCTAAAAAAGCCTTCATTTACCCCCTTCAACTTGTATAAATTCTCTCTAAATACATATGTATACATTTATAATGTATAGTGACTGACAGTGTGTAAGAATAATTTTTGTTTTATATATTTATATATATATATACACGCAAAACTTAGTTTAATAGTAATTTTACTGCTACAGTGATACTGAGAGTAGAGTCACAGTTACTGTAGTATAGTATGAAGAGTTGAATTCACTTAAATGAAATGTGCCAATGACATAGCTCCTCTATAGGAGATATAATTCTCTCTTTCCCTAAATGTGGCTTTCCTTCTAAGGAAACAATATTAAGGCACTATTGTTGAGGGAGATTACAGATTAGATGAGAAGAAAATATTTAAAGTGTTCCTTTTCCTTTTGTAGTCATGTATTGCCTCACAATGGGGATACGTTCTGAGAAATTCACTGTGAGTTGTTAGGCAATTGTGTCATTGTGTGAACATCATACAGTGTACCTATACAAGCCTCGGTGGTGTGGCCTACTACACACCTTGGCTGTGTGGAATAGCCTATTGCTTCTAGGCTATAAACCTGTATAGCATGTTACTGTACTGAATACTGTAGGCAGTTGTAACACATGGTAAATATTCATGTATCTAAATATAGAAAGGGTACAACATAAAAGATTTAAAATGGTATTCTTGTATAAGGAATTTCCTGTGACTGGAACCTGCAGGACTGGAAGTTGCTCTGGGTGAGTCAGGAAGCGAGTGGTGAGTGAATGTGAAGGCCTAGGATAATACTGAACACCACTGTAGTCTTAATAAACACTGTACACATGGGCTACACTAAATTAATTTTTTTAGAAAGGAAGACTGTAACCAGGTTTCAATCCCACTAGGAGGGCGTAAGCACCTATTGTACCCTTGCCAACATTTAGTATTTTCATTTTGTAATCTTTGCTGATTTGATAAAGCAAAATTTCTCTTATTTAAATTTGAATTTCTTTGGTTATCAGTGTGGTTGCACATCTTGTAAATTATTCATATGCCTGTCTACGTTCTGGGGTCACAATGTTTTTCTTTTTTATTTGTGTGAACTCTTTGCCTTTAATGATAATTTTTTTGTTTTTGTTTTTGAGTTGGGCTCTCACTCTGTCATCCAGGGCTCACCATAGCCTTGACCTCCTGGGCTCAGATGGTCCTTCCACCTCAGCCTTCCAAGTAGTTGGGACTGCAGGTGTGTGCTGTCAGGCTCGGCTAATTTTTTATGGAGATGAGGTCTCGTTATATTGCCCAGGCTGTTCTTGAACTCCTGGGTTTAAGTAATCATCTTTTTTCAATAATCAATTAACCATAGCTTACTGTAATGATTTTACTTTATAAACTTTTTAAGTTTTAAAAACTTTTTGACTCTCTTATAACACTTAGTGTAAAATACAAACACATTGTACAGCTGTACAAAAATATTTTGTTTCTTTGTATCCTTTTTCTATATGCTTTCTTCTATTTTTAAATTTTAAAAAAAATTGTAAACTTTTTTTGTTAAAAACTGAGGCACAGCCGGGCTCGGTGGCTCAGCCTGTAATCCCACGCCTTGAGAGGCTGAGGTGAGTGGATTGCCTGAGCCCGCGGGTTCGAGACCTGCCTGGGCAGGCGAGACCTCATCTCTACAATAAATCAAAAAAATTAGCCGGGCGAGGTAGTGCACGCCTACAGTTCCAGCTACTTGGAAGACAGGCTGAAGGATCGCCGGAGCCCAGCAGGTTGAGGCTGCGGTGTCTGGGAGCTGCTACTGCACTCCAGTCTGGGTGACAGAGTGAGACTCCAACTCAAAAAAAAACTGAGGCACAAACACATACATTAGCCTAAGGATCAGGATTATTAAGATGTCACTAGGTGATAGGAATTTTTCAGCTCCTTTATAATCTCATGGGATCACTGTCATATATGCAGTCCATTGTTGACGGAAATGTTGTGGTGTATGACTGTATTTTATTCAAAGCATTAATCATATCTTGTTGTTTGTGACTTTTATATTTTGAGAGAGAGAGAGAAAGGGGATCTTTCTAATTTAATACTCATGGATAACTTTACATTCCTCTCATTTGAGCTATATTGTCTCTCTCATTCTGCTTCCCTAGTTATGTGAAGAATTATTTGAGAAAATCAATGACAACTGTAATGAAGAAATGTCCTACTCTGTAGAGGTGAGTGCAGCCCTGGGTTGAAAGCAGAGGCCCTTGTGCTCCTTTCCCTCAAATATTACTTTTAAATGGGTCCAAATTGTGACTGTGTTACAGATCATTCAGCTTTTCCCTCAGTTTTGTACTTTTAGGCTACATCTATGTTTTGATTCTAATAAACAATGTTGCAGTTAAATCTTTGTTCATAAGCCTGTGCATTTTTTTTCAGTTATTACCTTTGTATGTATCTTGGTTAGTAGGTAATACTTGTATTGCCAAATGACCTTTTAGAAAGAAAGACTGTTACCAGGTTTCAATCTCACCAGGAGGGTGTAAGTACCCATCGTGCTCTTGTCAACATTCAGTATTTTCATTCTGTAATCTTTGCCAATTTGATAAAGCAAAATTTCTCTTATTTAAATTTGAATTTCTTTGATTATTAGTGTGGTACATATCTTATAAATTATGCATATATTCTGGGAGCACAATGTTTTTTAAATTTGTGTGAACTCTTCCCCTTTAGTATTGTTCATCTTTTTTTTTTCTCCCTGAGTTGGGCTCTCACTCTGTCCTCCAGGCTGCAGTGCACTGGCACGGTCACAGCTTACCATGGCCTCAACCTCCTGGGCTCAGGCGGTCCTTGCACCTCAGCCTTCCAATTAGTTGGGACCACAGGTGTGCACCATTACCCCTGGCTAATTTTTTGTAGAGATGAGGTCTCACTATATTACCCAGGCTGGTCTTGAGCTTCTGAACTCAAGTAATCTTTCTTGCCTCCGCCTCCCAAAGTGCTGGGATTATAGATTATGGGCGTGAGCCACTGTGCCTGACTAATATTATTAATAATGATTTTTGACTGGTATAGGTTTTAAATATATATATGTATATGCTATTTCCTCTCTTTATAATTGCTCATAAGCTTAGAAAGTTATTCTTCATCCAGTGTTCACCCTGGCTCTTTCCTGAAGAGCTCTATAGAGTTACTTTTTAAATTTTTTTTTCATTTTTAGAGATAAGGTCTCACTCTGTCTGTCAACCCGCCTGGAGTGCAGTGGTGCAGTCATAGCTCTCTGTAACCTTTAACTCCTGGGCTCAAGCAATCCGCCCACCTCAGCCTCCTAAATAGCTACTACAGGAACACACCACCATGCCTGGCTAATTTTTAAGTGTTTTTTTAGACACAGAGTCTCACTATGTTTTCTAGGTTGGTCTCAAACTCCTGGCCTTAAGTGATCCTCCTGCCTCAGCCTCCCAAAGTGCTGGGATTATAGGCATGAGCCACCATGTCCAACCCTAGGATTACTTTATACATGTTTACTTGTTAAACATTCCTTCTTTTTGTATGTGCTTTATGAATACCCTTTTTCAGTATTCAGTTTCATAATAATTGAAGTTATTAAAGTGTTGTTCAGAAAAATTAAGCTGCCTTTTAAGCAAACTTGAGAATTTTTTCTTTTTCTGGTGTGTTTTTGATTCTCTACAGGACTACACCATTCCATTCCTAGTTGATACATTTAGTTGCTTTGGGTTTTTTTTTCTTTACCTATAAAGTGTGATAATTCTAAAGGATTCTGCCTTGTGACTGTCATACACCAAAAGGAGAATGTGCTGCTCTAAGAATATTTTATGTTAAAATGAATTTTTAAATTGCTTATCTCATAACCATTCTATTTTGAATCAGATGATAGGGCTTTTGAGCCTATAGGTAATAAAAGATGCCATTTTCTTTTATCTTATTCAGACTTCACAGGCTTACTTGGAGTGGAGTGTAGATCCTAGGTGACACTGTTGCTCGTTACCATATTTGATGAACTTCTCTACCCCACTCCTACTTCTCTTACCATTTTCGCTGTTCCAGCCATACTGGCTTTTTTTCTGTTTCAAGAACACACCGGAAACATTCTTGCCTTAGGGCTTTTACACTTACCTTTCCTTCTGCCTGAAATATTCTTCCCCTGGATATCTTTTTGACTAAGTTTCTCATCTCCTTCAAGTCTGTACTCAAATCTCACACTCCTAATGAGGCTTACTTTGACCACCCTATTTAATACTGCGCCCTGTACTCCTCGTCTCTGTTGCTCTGTTCTGGTTTTTTTTTTTTTTTCCCGCATCATATTCTAACATGCTTTCTGAGTTACCTATTTTTTATGTTTGTTGTATATTGTCTCCTTTGCTAGAATTGTAAGCTCACCAGGGCAGGGCTCTGTCTATTTTATTTAGTGATGTATGCATGTTGCCCAGAAAAGTGCCTGGAAGAAAACCATGCTCAGTTGAATTGAATCTGCCAAGAGAGGTCTTAAGTGGTTGGTGCAAATAACAAAAGAAATAATGATGGTTTGGGATGGATTAACATATCAAAGAATAAGGGATAGAGCATGTGAACTTTTACCCAGATGATTTGGGTTCTCTTAGTCTCACACCTGTGGGAAAAAGGACAAGTGTGCCAAAAGCTATAACATCTTCCTTGGATTCAGGATTATATGTACAAGTTTAAGTACAAAAGAATGATTGCAGCCATCTCACTATCTAGGATGACTTGCCGTCAGAAGGAATATTTGTTACTCTTAGAATAGATCATTTCTTTATCTTTTCAGGGTTCTCAATTTTTAAAATTTATTTTTAAAGTACGATATAAAAATACAATCAGATCAGGAACTGAATGAAAGAGACAATAGAAATGGCATTAAGGTGCTCTTTCAGATACTCAAAATGTGTCTATAGAAACTTAAAAGTTGAAAAATATAGGAGTTACAGTGTATGCTCAAACTGCTTAGTAGTACAGAAGGATCTGATTTCTGGGAGACATCATAATGTGGCCTACTGTGGTGAATTTACCTCAATTTAGGGCCTTGTTTGCTTAGAAGTCTGATGTAGACACATCAGGAAAAGAACCATCCTTCAGAGTCAGACTCTTGAGCAAAGCTTGTTTGACTGATGTTATGGGATCAACGTGTTGGTTTGTTTCTTTCCTATGAGAAATAACTATTACCCATGCCAGAACACTCACATTTGCAAGACTAATATATTATCTGTCTGTGGACAGACCTCTGTTGGAACTGTGTGTTGTTTGGTAAGCATAGAATTAGGAGGAGAGTTGATTAGATATACTAAATATTTAATTGCCTCAGGTTAAAAAATGATAGCCTCATGCCTTTAGCACCATGACAAGAATGGTCCTGCTGATGGGACGATAAATTATGGGGTGTATTGTCTGAGGCTTACCCTTCCCCCACGGATCTTGGATAGGTTCTGCCACCTCAGCTTCCATGCTGGTCAATCCTTACCCCTTCTGGTGGATATACTGTTCATAGTTCGTCACAGTGTGGTCAGTCTTACAAAATTAGTCAGTAGTTTCTTTTGTCTTTTCTGCTTTGTAATACTGATATTGTTCTTTGATTTTAACTCTGATAGAAGTCTTATTCCTAAGCTCTTGGAGTAACCCCAGTGTAAACCCCAATGACTGACAGCGGTGTAACACTTTAAAAAACATTGACAACTGATAAGTTGCTACCAAAATATTTTCTGCCTAAGATAAGTAGCAACCATTATATCCAAGAGATAACCTCTTTACCTCTTTCTTCCAGAGAATGTCAGAAGGCTGATTCTAATCTATGCAGTATGATTATCTGTGCATATTGTTAATAGAATAAAAAAGCCTAGAACTATGACATTTCACTTTGTCAAGGTTGCTAATCTCTAATTGTAGAGATCTATTTGTTTGTTTGTTTGTTTGTTTGGAGTCGGAGCTCATTTTATTGCCCAGGCTGGAGTGCAGTGACATGCTCACGGCCACCACAGCCTTGACCTGCTGGGCTCAGGTGATCATCCGCCTCAGCCTTCCAAATAACTAGAACCACAGGGCGCACCACCACACCCAGCTAATTTTTGAATTTATTGTAGAGACAAGGCCCACCAAGTTCCCCAGGCTGGTCTCGAACCCCTGGAGTCAGGCAATCCTCTTGCCTCGACCTCCCAAAGTGCTGGGATTACAGGTGTAAGCCACCGTGCTTTATAGAGCTTTTAATAAAAGTTTAAAGAATTTCTTTTTGTTGTATGTGATTTCTTTTTTCTGAGCCTTCTAATTCACTTTAATAATTTGTACTTAGGTGAGCTACATGGAAATTTACTGTGAGAGAGTACGAGATTTGCTGAATCCAAAAAACAAGGGTAATTTGCGAGTGCGTGAACACCCACTTCTTGGACCCTATGTAGAGGATCTGTCGAAGTTGGCAGTCACTTCCTACACAGACATTGCTGACCTCATGGATGCTGGGAACAAAGCCAGGTATGGTAGGAAGTAGACTAATGACTGAGGTCTTTGGCATATTTTTATGTCCTTTGTTCCCAGTTAAGTGTTTGAGGCCACATTTATAGCTATGAAAGTTACTTTAATTGTGGAATTCTCTGATCCTTTAACTACACTGGAGCAGTGAGGGCTTTAGCATATTAAGTGTTTTTCTTCTCATCAGAACAATGCATTGCTGAAACCACTAGCTCTTTGGTTAAGTTTTATTCTTAGGTTTTCATCAAGTCATGGTAAAATGTTGGTCATCATGTATATGTGTGGCTGTGGTAGTAATTGATTCTGGAATAAATGAGCACCAGTAAAGAAAGAAAATTAAATGCTTCAGTGGTTTCTAAAGGGATAGCTGGAGTATGAAAAATGATTCTGATGGGGTGCCTTTGGAGCTGGAGGGCAACTTGAGGGGCTCACAAATAAGGCAGTATTGAGAGCAGTTGCGTAAGTGACAATCTTGCAATCTGTGAATAAATTTAAGACTATTGCATGTGATTGTTATGCTTATAATGTGGAGCTTGCTGTCCATTTCAACTCTCTTCTCAAAATTCCATTGTCACATGGTCACCTTTATGTTTATTTAGGACAGTGGCAGCTACCAACATGAATGAAACAAGTAGCCGTTCCCACGCTGTGTTTACCATTGTTTTTACCCAGAAGAAACATGATAATGAGACCAACCTTTCCACTGAGAAGGTAGGAGAACTTCAGTCTCTGGGCTTAAGTTGTGAAAGATGGGGGTTTTGAGAAGTCTCTTTTGTTGCCTTCTGCATTTTGTGGTAAAGGAGAGGGTTGCTCTTATATTTAGTGAAGGAAGGAATATCCTCTTGTCTCATTTTTTTCTCACCATACACCAATTTTCAGCATGGTCTGTTTTTTTTTTTTTTTTTAAAGAAAGCAGGATTTATTGAGAGGACAGAAAAACTCCCACAGTGAAAGGGGACCCGAAGGGGTTGCCCTGAATGGGTTCTTAAATGAAATTGTAAGGGTACCTGTTTAAGGAACCTAACCCTGAATTGTACCTCGCATTTTTAAAATAAAAAAAAATGAAGTTGTAAGATAGAAAATAGAGTTAAGAAAAAAAGCTATGCAAGACTTTGAGTCTCAAAAACTACTGTATACAAGGCAGTTAAGCAGGTCTATGGGGAGAAAGTTCTTCCTTTTCTTCTTGACTAATACCTTTTAATTATTACTTTATTAGCCTTCTTTGGTATATGTATTCCTTTTTCTTTTTAAGCTATGATAATGTTATTGTGGGATTAAATATTTAAGCAAACAGTTAGGCAAATATGTTTTATTCCTGAAAGATAACTTTACAAGAGTTCTGAGGTTCTTCAAATACCTTTGCTTACTGATTTCTCTTTTTTTTTTGCTCCTCCCCCACCCCCAATTTCTCATTTTTTTATAGTGATTAAATATTGTAGATTTTGCAGCTAGACTGCTTGATTTCAATCTGGGTTCAGCTATATTACCTTAGACAAATTACTTGTTTGTGCCTCAGTTTTCCCATCTGTAACAGCCTCATAGTGTTGTTAAAAGGATTAATTGCCAATATAAGTTAAGTGCATACAATGTCTGGCACAGAGTAGCTACTCAGTAAATGTTAATTTTATGTTACTGTTGTCAATAATAGAAACTTTTTGTTGAGTATTATTCTACATTCCTAAATAACATGCAACTGGGTTTTAAAATCTGAAGTTAGATTTATTGTGCTGGCAATTATAAGAGATCCTTTGCCGTTATAAAATGAGTACTTTATGATCCTTTGCCATTCTAATTAGAATCTCCTTTTATTTGGTGACTTTTTATTTTTACTGAAAATTATTTTAAAAATATATTTCTTATATGGGGGAATCAAATAACTTGCTTAGCCAGAGGTTATATTAGTGCTATTTGTTAGTGTTTATCTGAATGGCACCAAGGAACATTCTATGTGAATGTATTTTTTACCCTTCTCCCATGAAGTTGAATCTACAAAATTAATGATGTTAATCCTATAACTATAGTTTTTTTGATAATCCACTTTGGATACTTTTGTCTAAACTTTCCTGAAGCTTTATTTTATTTTATAACAACTTTACTAAGGTATTATTGAAGTATACAATAAACTACACATATTTAAAGTGTAAAATTTGATCACCTTTGACGCATATGTACACCTTTGAAAACCAGTACCACAATGCAGATAATGAGAATTTTTATTACCTGAAAAGTTACCTCATCCTCCTTTGTAATCTCTCTCTAGCCCTTCTTCCACTGCAGTCCCCAGGCAATTCCTGACCTGCCTTTTGTCACTATATATTAGTTTACATTTTCTAGAATTTTGTATAAATGTAATCATATAGTATGTATTTTTTTTGCCTGACTTCTTTCACTTGTCATAGTGATTTTGAGATTCATCTGTGTTGTTGGGTGTATCAGTAGTTTCTTTTCATTATTGAAGAGTATTGCATCGTACAGATACACTCAGTTTGTTTATTAATTCACCTGTTGATGGGCATTTAAATTGTTTCCAGTTTTTGATTAGTAGTAATATAATGAAGCTGCTATGAACATTTGTGTACAAGTCTTTGTGTGGACATTTGTTTTGTTTTCTTTGTAAATACTTAGGAGTAGGATGATTGAATCTTATGGTAGCTTCTTACGAAATGCCAGATTGTTTTTCAAAGTGATTGTATCATTTTACCTTCCTACCAGCAGTATGTAAGAGTTCCAGTTGTTCAAAGCTTCATTTTTAGTAAACCATTTAATGAATTGATTAGTTTTGTATATCTTATGACATACCGTAGTAAAATATGTTTATCCTAAAATCACTTATTTGGAGCCATGAAAATTGCTCTGAAGTTTTTGTATGCTTTTTTTTCTTAATCTTTAAATGTTTTTAGAGACAGAGTCTCACTCTGCTGTCCAGACTGCTGTGTGGGGGCTGTCCACAGGTGCAGTACTGCTTCAAGCTCTTCAAGCTCCTGACTCAGATGAGCCTCCCAAGCAGCTGAGACTGTAGCCTGTGCCACCGTGAGCGTGCTCTGCTGAGCATGCTCTGTAACGTGACGGTGATACAGGTTGTCTTTATCTTCCTGTGCCATATCTAAGAACTCTCCTAGCTTTAAGTTTCCTCCACACGTTAATCTTTTAAAAAAGTTCTGCCTCTGATGTTTTCTCCTCCTGCCTGCTTATCTGGAGTTGCCTCCATGTTATCGTTCTTCATCAGGTCAGTAAAATCAGCTTGGTGGATCTAGCCGGAAGCGAACGAGCTGACTCCACTGGTGCCAAAGGGACTCGATTAAAGGTATCTGTTTTTTGCAAATAAATGACCGAGTCAGCAATGTTCTATAATATGGGTCGGCAAACTATGGCCAGTGGACCAAAGCCAGCTCACCACATAGTCCGGTTAAATGAACTTTTATCTAAACACAGCTACGTCCATTCATTTATGCTTTGTTTGGCTGTGTTTCTACTGTGATGGCAGAGTTGACAGAGACCATATGGCCCACAAAACTTACTTTTACCTGGCCCTTTACTGAAAAAATTTGCTGAGTCCTGATCAATGACTTCAATGGAAGGATAAATTATATAATAAAATCGTTAGGGAGGACTTCATGGTCAAGGTGAGAATTGCACTGCATTTTGAGCAACAGGCAGATTTTAGCTAGATGGAAGAAAGAGATGGGAATGGAAATAGGATATGCAAGATTCAGATGTGAGAACAAGCATGACCCGTGAATGAGATGTTGCTTAGCAAGAGCAGACATTGCATGTCTGTGAGTTGTGGGAAGAAGACTGACTGCATCTGTAAGGTTTTGGAACATAAACGTCTTAAAGATACTTGAGGAATGTGAGTTGAACATGTGGTTCCAGCATGTTTTCAAGTGGAGAAGTGGAAAGGCGGACTAAAGGAGGTTTTGAGAACTTGTCAAACAAGTATGCTAGTGTATAAAAAATGATGTTTTATGTTGTATATGATGTGGCGGTAATAGAAATTCTTCATTATAATTTTTTCATGTTTGGTATCTATTTTAGGAAGGAGCAAATATTAATAAGTCCCTTACAACTTTGGGCAAAGTCATTTCCGCCTTGGCTGAGGTGGTAAGTTTTATATTTTATTATAAGGGGAAATTTGATGGCTCAGCAAATATACTTGATAATATTTTATGATTGCTTAGAAAGGCTATCCTTTTTTGGTCTTTTTATGTAATCTTGCCTTTCTCCTTTAAAAACTTTTCAGATAAGATACTAAGTATAACACAGGTTGACTTGAGATTGAAAAAGCGATTAAGGAGAATAAAAGTAAATTAGATCTGTAAAAACTAGAGCAAAGACCTAACTTTTTGAGCCTTATTTCATATCTTTCACAAAAACCAAGTGAATTTTTTGATATTCTTTTCCCATGCAATATTTTTTAAGTAGGATACAGTACCTTTGGAGTAATGAGTAGTTTGACTTTGGTGGATGCTGTTGATTTAGTGACCAATAGCACTTTTTTTCCCCAGGTAGTTTCATTCTTTCCCATTCTGTAATAGTAGAACACTAAAGCTAAAACAATTTTTATACAAAGGGCTTCATTATTTAGGTTAGTCATTTTGTGCTCTAATTTAATACGTCATTTAAATCGTTAAAGTGAATGAAGTGCTTTTTCTTGCTTGTCTCTGAGAAGTTATAATCTATGACAAAATCTAAACAAAATATTATCTTCTGTTTGGAGGCTTATCCTGTATTCTTGTTCTCTCCTTTAAATGCTTTCACCTGTAGGATAACTGCACCAGCAAGGTATGGTGAGGACTGGTAGAGATAAACTAGCTGTAGAATTGACTTTTATGGTTTTAAATCCTCAGCAGAATATATGGAGACATATATAGGAATGGAACCTTCAAAAAACTTTTTGTCATTTGTTTTCTGTCTTTGGAATTTAGAATGACTGTATGAGCAGGAATCATGAGACTTCACACCAAAATTAATTTGGAGAGCGTGATATGCTTTTGAAAAGGAATTAAGACTAAAAGAACATGAGGGAAATTTGAGGAAGCTTTTATATTTATGTTGTCTTATGATGTTTCTCCTAGGACTGTCTTTTTTTTTTTTTTTTTTTTTTTAAGAGACAGGTCTTGGTATGTTGTCCAAGCTGGATTCAAACTCCTAGGCTCAAGCGATCCTCCCACCACAGCCTCCCTAGTAGCTGGGAGCAAGGACTGTCTCTTGACAGTTTTGTAAACCATTGGAAAGGGCAATACACTTAGATTTTTTTTTTGAGTTGGAGTCTTATTTTACTGTATATAGTTTTTAAAAACCTCTTTGTATTTAATTGTTTCCTACCATGAAACATGGAGAACTTAAAACATTGAAAATCTCCTTTCTAGTCTCTGACTTGCTTTTTAAAAAAAAAGTAAAAAATTTTCCTAATCTTTTGTTATACATAGAAAATGTGAAGACTGTAGAATCAAGATATACTTTTAACTGCATCTGGACAACATATTACCCAAATACTATAGATTTTTCTTTTTCTTCTATTTCTTTTTTTCTTTTTTTTGAATTAGAGTCTCACTCTGTCGCCCAGACTGGAGTACAGTGGCACATTCACGGCCACTGCAGCCCTGGCCTGCTGGGCTCAGGTGATCCTTCTACCTCAGCCTTCCAAGTAGCCAGAACTACAGGCATGCATTACCACACCTGGCTAATTTTTATTTATTGTAGAGACGAGGTCTCGCCAAGTTGCCCGGGCTGGTCTTGAACCTGCAGGCTCAGGCAATCCACTCGCCTTGGCCTCCCAAAGTGCTGGGATTACAGGCTAAGTCACCAAGCCTGGCCTCTTCCTTCTATTTCTATACAAATATTTTAAAATTTGTTAGTCCTCTTTTTACATAAATGATATATACGGGCCAGGCATGGTGACTCAAGTCTGTAATCCCAACATTTTGGAAGGCCAAGGTGAGAGGACTGACTGAGCGCACGGGTTCAAGAACAGCCTGGGCAACTTGATGAGACCTCTTCTCTACACTAAAATCGAACAATTGGCCATGTGTGGTAGCGTGCACCTGTAGTCCCGACAACTTGGAAGGCTAAGGCGGAGGATTGCCAGAACCCAGCAGGTCGATGCTGGGGTGGCCATGAGCGTGCCACTGTACTCTAACCTGAGTGATGGAGTGAGACTCTGGCACAAACAAACAAACAAAACAAAACAAAAAAAATTTATATGCAAAACCTGACCTAACAGTTTGTTATGAATCTTATGAGCAAAATTTGGGATAGAAGCAGTATTTACCCTGAAATATTTTAAACTTCTATTTTCAAATGTATAGACTTATTTATCCTCTCTATTTCTATAAACATGACTTAATAAATTAAGTAGTGCCTTTTTTTGTTTTCCTATGTTTATTGGGAAAAGGTGTGTTAGATTCAGAAATTTACCTGCTATTTGATATATGTATGTGAACATTCTTTAGATTTCTGTTTTGGGTCCCAGAATCATGAAGACTGTTGAAAACATGGTGATCATTCTAACTTTTGTCCCATTTTATTAATCTGTTAACATCCATATCAACCACAGGAAAAGTTTGCTTAAAGCATTTATCTGTATATATTTCATATTGCTTTGTGCCACAATAATTTGCAAATAATTTTTTTTTTTTTTAGTAAGGGTTTTACCTTGTTGCTCAGGTTGGAGTGCAATTGCATGCTCATGACTACTGCAGCTTCTACATGCTGGGCTCAGGTGATCCTTCAACTTCAGCCTTCCAAATAACTGTAACTACAGGTGTGCACCACCACACCTGGCTAAGCTTTTTATTTATTGTAGAGATGATGTCTCGTCAGGTTGCCCAGGCTGATCTCAAACCCCAGGGCTCAGGCAGTTCTCTCACCTTGGCCTCCCAAAGTGTGTGATCCACTGTACCCGACTTGCAATTGCTTTTTTATAAATAGTTTTATAAAACCCAGTTTAGTATTTAGCATCTATGTCTTAACTATAATAGATCAGAAACAAAATTTAGTTTTTATGTAATAAGCATACTTTTTGGTGAGTTAGATATGTTGATATTTCCACTGATGAGATAAGCAGGCTAATTACCATCCACATTTAACTGTATTTTATTTTAGAGAGAGGTTCTTGATCTATGTAAAGCTTTTTTTTTTTTTTTTTTTTTTGAGTTGGAGTCTCACTCTATCACCCAGGGTGGAGGGCAGTGGCACGCTCCTGGCCACCACAGCCTCGACCTGCTGGACTCCTGCTATCTTTCCGCCTCAGCCTTCCAAGTAGCCAGAACTATAGGCACGCACTACCATCCCTGACTGATTTTTATTTATTGTAGAGATGAGTTCTTGCCAAGTTGCCCAGGTGGATCTCGAACCCATGGGGCTCAAGCAATCCTCTTGCCTTGGCCTCCCAAAGTGCTGGGATTACAGGCTGAGCCATCAAGCCTGGCTGGTGTAAAGCTTTTTATGTAACTGCTAAAGCATTTATTTTCAAAAAATGTGTAAGGATGTGAAAACAGATGAGATTAATTCTCTAAGAGAGCAGATAGAAAAGAAATGACTAGAATTCTGGGGTATTTTCAAATAGAAAGGATTGAAGTTCCATTTATGCTCCTTCATTTAGCTGTTCCTTCTTAATTTAGTCTAATTGACAGAAATGAAGAGAGATCATTTTTGGGAAACCAGTACTGCTTGTTTTTATAGGACTGTTTGTGGTCATTGTAATTGACATACTTTAAACCTTACAGCATTTTTATTACTAACAATGGGCAAAGTGGTATGTTTGGGGACTACAAAACAGTAAACTGAGATCTTAGACCTCAAGGCTTCTGTAGTGGAATGACGCTTTGTGCCACTAATCGGAGTGACTGAAAGGCTTAATTCTCCTTAGAGGTCTGTGCAGTTTAAGATAGAACTTGCTATTTGAATGGCTTTCTAACTGGGGGGTTGTATGTCTGTGGATAGAATGGGATGGGATGGTGTGGATCCTTTTGATGAGAGATATAATTAAATACTGCTTGCTTATTCCCTTTCCTCCTCAAAAAAAAAAAAACCAGAAACCAAGCCACTTTGTACTCTTTTTTCTGAATATTTGTGCTTGTGCAAATAGTAGGTCATCCTTAATTTAACCTTGGATTATACCAGGAATGGATTATAAAACTACCAATTGCAGGGGCAGTGTTTATCAGAGACCCCTGGTTTTCTCCTTAGTGGCTCTTAAAGCATCACAACCCAATAGTCAGACACTAGATATTTGAGTAACTATTATTTGCAAGACATTTGTATTACTTTTTGCTTTTAGAGAACATAATTTTTTCCTTTTCATCACTGCCTTTTCATTGGTGCTTTTTGCTTTACCTGTGTTAATGAGAAGGGTCATGAAGAGAGCAGTATGAGTAGACTTAATAGAAAATTCATCTTATAATCTTATAAATCTCTAAATTAGCAAATCATATCATTTTCTTAGACCTTTCATTTTTAGTCCTTGCTCTAATGGTTGGACCATTTGTTGGCATAATTTCTTTTCGAAGAGACCAAATGAGTATTACTTTACAAGAGTTACTAGATATGCAAAACCTGCCTGATGACTTGGTGGTTGGCTAAGTAAATTCGTTAACTAGATGATTTGTTCCTACACATCCAACCTGGAATGTATATGGCTCATATTTGCCCCTTTGCAGAAATAAAACTGAGTTCTAGGTATTAGATGGTATTAAGGAATTATTGTTAATTTTGTTAAATGTGGTAATGGTCTTATGGTGTTACGTTTTTTAAAACTATGGCCTCGGCCAGGCACAGTGGCTCAAGGCTGTAATCCCAGCGCTTAGGGAGGCTGAGGCGAGAGCATTGCCTGAGTCCAGGGGTTCGAGACCAACCTGGGCAACTTTATGAGACCTCGTTTCTACAATATATCAAAAAATTAGCCGGGCATGGTAGCATGCACCTGTAGTTCTGACTGCTTGGAAGGCGGAGGTGAAAGGATTACCTGAGCCCAGCAGGTTGACGCTGGGGTGGCCGTGAGCGTGCCACTGCACTCCAACCTGGGTGACAGAGTGAGACTCCAACTCAAAAAACCCCAAAACATCCAAAAAAGCCATGGCCTCCTCTGCAAGAAAAAAAAAGACACAATAATAAGATATTAGATCATAGTATTGTATTGATGTCATATTTCTTGAATTTGTTCATTGTTCTCTGTGTAAGAGTATGTCCTTACCTACTGAAGTGTTGAGGGATAAATGGAGATGATGTCTACACCTTACTCCAAAATGGTTCAGGGGTAAAAAGTGTAGAAGAGTGTTTGGGGAATAATTGAAAGGTGATTGGCAAAGCACTGATGATAGTTGAAGCTGCATGTTGGGTAATATGATAGCTCATTATACTACTGTCTCAACTGTTGTATATATTTACATTTTTCAAAGTAAAATGTACAATGAAAAAAATTACTTTTTTTACATGAGCTTTGTGAAGATTTGAAACTCTGAATGATAAATTTCAACAGTGATGGGATTCTGTTGTATTTGATTTGTTTGGAATTTTTAGACTGATTTGCCATCCATGTGAATTTTCCCCCTGATAACACTAAGACCATTCCTTTCTCTTTAATAGAGTAAAAAGAAGAAGAAAAGTGATTTTATTCCCTACAGGGATTCTGTACTTACTTGGCTTCTTCGTGAAAATCTAGGTATGTTGGCCACTGATGAAAACTTACTTCGTTATTCTTCTTAAAGCTATTTACTGTTTATCTTTTGTGATAGATTGTCCTGTGTCTGTTTTGGAGAAGAATACTCTCTAGATATTCATGTTACTAACTTGAGTGCTTCTGGCCTGTTTTCCTTTTTACTTCTTACTTAAACTGGTTGGATTCCCTTGCTTTTAAACCATGGTGGACTTCCATATCTCATTTACTTGAGGACACGAACTGTGCAGTAGTTGCCTTCCTGACTCTTGACACCTGCTTCAAACTACTGCTCCTTCTTCAAAGTTCTTTCAAAACTCCATGCTTTCAGGTGCACATGATTAGACATTGCCAACCCTTGCTCCTCCTCATTGCAGATGTTTTCGGTTCCTCATTGACTTCTACTTAACAAGGAAGAAGGAGAGATTAGCTGTGTTAAATGTTGCTAATAGATGGAAGAGGCTAGGAATGGACTATTGGGCTTATCCATATTGCCAGTGATTTTCAATTGCTAAGGGCAGTTTTGGTGGAATGACTGAGATCTCATTGGAGTGGGTTCAAGACAGAGAGGGGGACAGGAACTGAATCCAGTAGATCCAGACACAAAAGAATATAACAATGTCTGACGTGGGAACATTTGAGAAATTTGACTTTTGATTAAATATTAAGATCTGAGATTGTGCTATCAGATTTGACATAGTCAATAAATTTTTTCTTTTAAAATTTTTGTGATTTAAGATACTCATGATTCATCTTTTTAGGTGGTAATTCTCGGACTGCAATGGTTGCTGCTCTGAGCCCAGCAGATATCAACTATGATGAAACTTTGAGCACATTGAGGTACTTTCATTTGAAATCAGTAGCTATGTAGACCACATTGCCATCATAAGTCATTTGTTATGCCATGGATTTTCTTATGCTTTTTGGGTAGGTATTTATGTAAATGATTCTCTCTTCCTCTCATAACAGGGAAAACTTAGGGAAAAAGTATAATGTAGTATAATGGAATTGACTTGTTTATGATTTTCAGTATCTTTGGGAAAGGCAGGCACTTTTTCACAGGAAAGATGTTAAGATTGCTTAAGTGAGATTTTTAGGTACCTTTTTGAGAATAGCAAAGTTTTCTTATAATCGTTTCTGTTAAAAGCAGATTTCTCTTCTTGTGGTGTTTGTCATTATAGGAATGCTGAAGTTGTAATAAAATTACATTTAAAAATTATCAACAGGGCCAGGTGCAGTGGCATAAGCTTATAGTTCCAACTACTCAGGAGGCTGAGGCGGGAGGATCACTTGAGCCCAGAAATTTCAGGTCAGCCTGGGCAACATAGCAAACCTCTGTCTCTTTAAAAAAAGACAGAGTACCAACAGGATGTTCATTAAAAGAATATTTTTGTGTGTGAATATGTTCCATTACTTAAATCTGGAGCTCTCCGTTCTTCTTCCATTAAAGACACTTGATATAATGAAATGAACACTACATAGTCTGATACATTGGGTTTGCATCCTCTCTTTGGTATTTATTTTCATTGTAATCTTGGACAAATCACTTAAATTCATCTGAGCCTTTTTACTCATCTTTATAAAGCTTTATACAAATATATAATTTAAAAAAATTTTTTAGTTTTTAATGAACTCATCAACAAAACTCCCATTTCAAAATAAAAACAAAATCTCAGATCAAATAGATGTTTACAGTAATTACATTTATCTGAGCAACATACATTCATGTTCAGTTCTAAGATGTTAAATAAACTTCTGTGACAAATAATTTTGTTTTTTTTTTTAATACCAAGAACTTTAATTAGAGTTAATGCAGAGTTCTAAGGATAAACTAGTAGTCACTCATTTGGTTTTTCTTAAGTCTTCATTTGAGATACTGTTATTTCTAGTACAGATAAGCAGGCAGAGTCTTCCATATGCTCCAATACTGGAATCTTCGGTTGCTACTATATCAGCTAGCTTCAAACAAGAAGCCAGCCATTTTAAGAAAGTTTTAAGTAAACAACTTGCTAACTCCAGGAATGGAAAGACCCTAAGAATGCACAATTGTGAGCATTTACAACCATCACAACTGTGACTGAAGACTGTTCATAGTGTTCTTCTGAAATGAGATCTCAAAGCAGTATAGTTCAAAATAAAAGATTTTGGCCGAGCTCATTGGTTCAGCCTGTAATCCCAGCACTTTGGGAGACCGAGGCAAGTGGATTGCCTGAGCCCACAGGTTCTAGACCAGCCAGGCAACTTGGTGAGACCTTTTCTCTACAATAAATCAAAAATTAGCTGGACATGGTAGCATGCATCTGTAGTTCCGGCTACTTGGAAGGCTGAGGCAGAAGGATCACTGGTACATAGCAGGTCAACTCTGTGGTCAGCCATGATTATATTGCCACTGCACTCCAGCCTGGGCACAATGAAATGTTTTTACAAAAAATTGGCATGTGCACAATTTCTCCACCAATTTGTGTGTGTCAACAATTTAGTTAACTTTTCCACTTGAAAAATACAATGGAAAATCAGGCACCATGTTTCCTATCTCAGTTAATATTTACAATTACAACGGCTACAACTCAGGATACAGCATCACCAGTGCTGCCCAGAGTCAGTTAATACTGAAATTAAGTTCTTTACACCAAGTAAATGGTTGTCTACGACCACTGGCCTGTGGGGGTTTGGGCTTGCTGGCCCTGCCTACTCAAAAATATATTATCAAGGCTCATACAATGTGTAAATACTCAGGACATTTAATTTAGAAATAATGGTATGTTACTTATGAGAAGTAGAGCATCTGAGAAATGGCAAGAATGAATTTTCTTTTTGGATCTAGATATGCAGATCGTGCAAAACAAATTAAATGCAATGCTGTTATCAATGAGGACCCCAATGCCAAACTGGTTCGAGAATTAAAGGAGGAGGTAACACGGCTGAAGGACCTTCTTCGTGCTCAGGGCCTGGGAGATATTATTGATAGTAAGTGAATTAAGGACCAACATAAAATAATCTAGCCTGTCCTCTTCAGAGTTCTTATATTTGAAATATACTTTAGGCCATGCGTGGTAGCTCAAGCCTGTAATTCCAGCACTTTGGGAGGCGAGACAAAAGAATTGCCTGAGTCCAGGGGTTCAAGATCAGCCTGAGCAACTTGGTGAGACTTTGTCTCTACAATAAATCAAAAAATTAGCCAGGCATGGTAGTTCTGGCTACTTGGAAGACTGAGGTGAAAGGATTGCCTGAGCCCAGCAGGCTGATGCTGGGGTGGCTGTGAGCATGCCTCTGCACTCTAGCCTGGGCAACAGTGAGACTCCAATTCAAAAATATATATCTATATATATATTTATGTATACATATGTGTATATATATATGTATATACTTCGATTTAAGGAGTTTGATGAAGCTAGGTGGTAGTGAAAATTTTTGTGTGTTTTTTTTTCCTTAAAATATCCAATGGCAATGATCTCTGGATTCCCTATGTAGTATGTACCAGGCTATCCATTTGAATTCATGAAAATCATTTTTAAAATATGACTATATCACTACTTTTATTTTTGATAGAATTGAGTTTTAGATCAGCAGTGAAATTTACTTGGAATGTCAAACTTATTCTCACTGAGATTAATCACTTAATAAAAATGTTACGCCGGGCTCGGTGGCTCAGTCTGTAATCCTGCGCTTTGGGAGTCTGAGGTGAATGAATTGCCTGAGCCTGTGGGTTCGAGACCCGCCAAAGCAACTTGGCGAGACCTCATCTCTACAATAAATCAAAAATTAGCCGGGCGTAGCGCATGCCTGTAGTTCCAGCTACTTGGAAGGCTGAGGCGGAAGGATCGCCGGAGTCCAGCAAGTCGAGGCTGTGGTGGCCGGGAGTGGCCACTGCCCTCCAGTCTGGGCAACAGAGTGAGACTCCAACTCAAAAAAATAAATAAATAAAATAAAAATAAAAATGTTACTTGAAATTTTTGGTTTTATTTCATGAGTTACTCTGGATTAGTGTAATAGGAGTAATTTATGTATAAGAAGCTCACCATTCAAGTCTACTTTCAGATAAGATTCACCTCTGAGTGGCCCCTTCCTCCTGTAAAATGATTGAATGCCCCCTGCTGCCTATGAACCTATGAAAGGGGAAAAGTTGAAATCCTATCAAGTTTAAATATTAGACTTCCAGAGAGTATTATTTTAAATGCTGTCTTAAAATGCATCTTTTAAGTAACTAAAATAGATTATTCAGATAGAACAGAATATAGATTTTTTAATAAAAGTATTATAATTTTTGAAGCATAAAACTAATATTCTTTGAAATTCTGATAAGATTTTTAAGACCTCTTCTAGTTTAGTTCTTAGGATTAGGGCCTGAGTTTCGATGAATACAGTTTATAAAAATGATAATATATTCTAAGTGTTAACTTTTTCATCTTCCCAAATGCCAAATACTGCTCTGTTCCCTCTCTGTGTCACTGCTGAACCTGAACATTGACCCTTCTCATATTTTCCCTCCTGCTTACCTTCAGTTGATCCATTGATCGATGATTACTCTGGAAGTGGAGGCAAATGTGTGTATTTCGTGTATTGGTTATTTCCAGTACTCTGACTTGCTAATCTGCCTCTGCTGGATCAGCCTTAAATGAGCTTTGCATGCCAGCAATCCCAACAGGGAAATCCCAGACAGAGCATAGTGTAGAATCAGAAATGATCCTATTTTTGCCATTCTTCATTTAGCAAAGCAGTCTCTGCTGAGTTTCATTCCGTTTGTGACTTGAGTGAAGTTGAAAAGCTTAAGAATCTCTTGCTTCTTCTACTCTTCAGTTTTTCCCCCAGGTGATTAAATTAAGTCCAGAATCCTAGAGGATGATAGTAAGAATAGCAGCTGACACTTACTGTGTTTATGATGTGCCAGGTTCTGTTCTAGGCACCTTTAAAAAAGACTATATTGTCTCTTTTAATTCTGTCAGTGACTCTGAAAAAGTTCCATTATGCTCATTTTACCAGTAGCCTGAAGTGGTTAGCTTGCCTGACATCCCACAGTTTCTATGTGGTTGGTTGTATAGTGTAATTTTAAGCCCTTGTTTTTAATCATTATTACCCTAACACTTTTTTTTTGTCTCTTGAGTTGCTCTCTTCAGAGTCCGATTGTTTAATAGAAAATTCTTTTTAATTCACATTGTAAATGTGAGCCTTCATATATAAAATTAGAAACAATCATTTTCAGTCAGCCGACTATCTGCGATTGGGGAGCTCTGTAAATGTTGGGCTCACACTCACCTGTGCTTATGCTTAGTTGGTTTTCTCCATACCTTGGGCCTCAGCTTACTTAACAGTTAGATAAAAATTTTTCCCCTTTTAAAAAATTACAAATTAAGCCGGGCTCGGTGGCTCAGCCTGTAATCCCGTGCCTTTGGGAGGCTGAGGTGAGTGGATTGCCGGAGCCCGCGGGTTCGAGACCCGCCTGGGCAGCGAGACCTCATCTCTACAATAAATCAAAAAATCAGCCGGGTGTGGTAGCACATGCCTGTAATTCCGGCTACTTGGAAGGCTGAGGTGGAAGGATCGCTGGAGCCCAGCGGGTCGAGGCTGCGGTGGCCGGGAATGGCCACTGCACTCTAGTCTGGGCGACAAAGTGAGAGTCCAAATCAAAAAAAAAAAAAAATTACAAATTAAGTTTAAAATAACTTAGTTTCAATTTAAAATGTGTGCTAGAAATGAGAACATCTTATACAGGTTCACATGAACTTCATTATTGTCTCCATATATCCTTTAAAGATAATTTCATCAAGGAATTGTTATCATAGAAGAAATGGAGACTCTTGATTTGGGGTTAATTTTCAGATTCATATTGATTTGTTTATTTCTGTGGTAAGGCATGCAGCAAGGCTCGGCAGACAGTAAGAAAATACACAAGAGAAACCAAATAGAACCCTGGCTGTTCTTATACAGTTAGTGCTTGTAGGCACTATGATGACCTAACACAGAAGTGACTCTTGGACTGCAACAGCTCTGTCTGAGATTTCCAAAGCTGAACGGCATCAATGTGAAAAAGATGCCTTCTTGTTCTTGCTGTTGCTGCTACCAGCTTGTTGCCTACCTCTTTTCTGAGCAGCTTTGGTATTTCCTGAAAAACCATGCATGACTAAGTTTTAATTCTGTATCTGTGCAGGAAAGTAGCACCAACTACTTCTCAGTTTTCATTTTTATCTAATTAATTCCTTTTAGGGCTTGCATGTATCCTTTGGACCTTCTAAACTCCGTCCATACTGGTCTTTCCCTCCTTGCTGCCATTACCTGGTGGCGAATTTTTTGCTTCAGCTACTATCCCTGTTTTAAAACATGCTTCTTTGCTTGTTTCCCTATGTTCTATATTTGCAGATGGTGGTTTTCAAACTGTCCTGAAGCAACCACTGGCTTTAAGGAGCTTCAGAAACAGGCTTTTATTAAATAGTACAGCTGAGGTAGACCAGAGAGAACTAATAGTATTTTTTCCAACTATTTGTATCAACTCATCTTTAAGAAAAACTTATTATCTTAAAGTTGAAATGCACCAGCACCTCTGGTTTTCCTCTGGTGTCTCTGAGAAGTATGACTAATGAAGGAAAGTACAAACAGCAAGTTAATGAATTTTGTTTATGATTTTTTTTTTATCAATGCTAAGTTTAAAAGCAAAATTTATAGTTCTATTAGAGACTTAGTAAATGAAAGTCCCTAAAATGTGCATTTCATAATGGGAAGTAGGCTTGGTTGTACTGTTAGGCACAGTGAGGGTCTTAAATTAGCAAATCAGAGATTAACAAATCACTTTATTTTTTGCTTGCTCTGATAGATGAACAGAAATTGCACCAAAACTCATTAATTTGCTAATTGTTTTTCCTTGTTGAGGCAATCAATCAGTCCTGAGTTCTTAACCAAAATTTCTGTCATTTCTACAGTTACCTCTCCTTTTTATTTAAGGCGTATTTTAAAAATTCTTTTAGCATGTTGAAATGTTGCTGTTCAAAGGACACTACTTAAGTGCTTAGATTTTTGTTTTAACTGTAACATTTTCTTGGAAATTTTTTGCTGAATTCCATAGAACACTGGGCCACACAGATAAGGATTATTATTGATACATAAATGATTATCATTTTTCCTTATGGTTGCAAACTACTGAAATTTAAGAGTGGTATAAATGTGAAGGCATTATGGTCTTGGAACAGCAGAAAGAAGGGAAGGGAGGTAGTTTGGCTATGGAGGGAGAGTGCCTAAGTAGCATCCTTTGATTCAGTGTGAACCTGCAGTGTAATTTTTAAGTTTCTAAAGTAGCCGGGCTCGGTGGCTCAGCCTGTAATCCCAGCGCTTTGGGAGGCTGAGGTGAGTGGATTGCCTGAGCCCACAGGTTCGAGATCCACCTGGGCAACTTGGTGAGACCTCATCTCTACAATAAATCAAAAACTAGCCGGGCTTGGTAGCACATGCCTGTAGTTCCAGCTACTTGGAAGGCTAAGGCGGAAGGATCGCCGGAGCCCAGCAGGTCGAGGCTGCGGTGACCAAGAGCGGCCACTGCACTCCAGTCTGGGCGACAGAGTGAGACTCCAACTCAAAAAAAAAAAAAGTTTCTAAAGTAGAAGTGATTGTTAACCTCTAGGATACCAGTATTAAAGAGAGACATGTTTTAGAACTGCCATCTAGAACAATTGTAACCTGTCTTTGTATTATAGCTTGTCTTTGTCTTGGCGCTTTAATGCTGTCCTTTCTTACACCGATGTTCCTTCCTGTCTCTTTTTCTTCCTTGCTCCTTTCCCTCTTTCCCACTTTTTCTGCCTTCCTTTCTTTCTGTCTCCCAGATCTGAAAGATTTTCAGAACAATAAGCATAGGTACTTGCTTGCCTCTGAGAATCAACGCCCTGGCCATTTTTCCACAGCATCCATGGGGTCCCTCACTTCATCCCCATCTTCCTGCTCACTCAATAGTCAGGTGGGCTTGGCATCTGTGACCAGTATTCAGGAGAGAATCATGTCTACACCTGGAGGAGAGGAAGCCATTGAACGTCTGAAGGTAAGTAACAGTTCAGACTGAATGCAAGGTGCTCTTCCCCCCCACCCTTTTCCCCCTGCAAGATGCTCTTATAGCTCCACAAGGCAGAACTAGGACTAAAAATGACTGAGATTTTGGCTCAGCATATGGAGAACTTCCTACATCTTAGAGGTGTCCTGGAAATGGAATTTTCTGCTTTGTAAATTACTTAATTTTTTTTTCACCAGAATGCTTGAGTGTGACATGGCCAGGCAGAAATGGGAGAGATGCACGGGCAGGTCATAGGTTGGCCATGCAGAGTAATTGGTAGACATGTATGAGGGGAATCCTCCAAAAACTGGAATTTATTTATTAAAAATTTTGTATTCATACATATTTAATCTTCAGTCACCTTCAAAGTACTCTTTGTTTGATGCAGTGCACCTAGTGAGACGCTTTTTCCACTGCTCAAAATAGTTTTTGAACTTGTCGATTTTGATGCCTTTTAGTGCTTCTGCCTTTTTTTGTTTCACCTTTTCTACATTGGCAAAATGTTTCCCCTTGAGGACTTTTTTCATCAGGGAAATTTTTAAAAAGTCGCTTGGGGCGAGATTGGGTGAATAGGGAAGGTGGGGTCATGTTGGTCAAAAAAAGCTGAACATTCAACGTGGTGTGGACAGGTGTGTTGTCATGGTGGAAGACATTGACTTTTCTTCTGAAAATTGTGATGCAACCTTCTCAAATTTCCAGATAAAAAAGTTGCTTGACCGTTTTATCCCAAGTAGCAAATTCCGAGTGTACTACAAGGACCCATCCTCCAAGAGATAATTCCAAGGTTTTTTGGGTCCCCTTCATACATTAATTCTAGAGTGACTTATAAGTCACAGTGAAATTATTTAATTAGAAATTTCGTTGGAAATGAAATAGTTCAAAATGTTTGGTTTCATAGTAAAATGGCATTCTGTATAGAGCCATGCTTCTGTTAGTAAATGAAATATTAAAAGAAAGTTTGGACATTTGAGAAGCTTTACCAGGTTTATTTAGATACACATTAAATTATATCTTCTGGAAGTTCACACTCCATGATTTTTGTACAGGAAGGATTGTCTCCTCCTATGCTGGTGCACATGGAGTCACAGAGCCACAGGGCTACGTGTGTGCAGGGTACCCATCTGTGGCATCCAGCTTTGCTCTTGGAAGTTTTCCCCCAGCCTATTGTAGGCTCTGGCAGGTTCTATCTTATCTCTCTCCATGAATATGAAAGTTAGGAGCAATAAAGCCTAATTCATAGCTTTTTCCCTTTCCTCTCAATGAATGTCATGAGCAGACAGTTGTCACCTGCAGTACCGAGGCAAACTGTTCAGGAATCCTGACATCCATCTGACAACTGTGACAGCACGATCTGCTCTGAAGCAAATGTTTTTTCTTCCCCACTTGTCACCTCCAGGAAGATAGTTTGACCCATACCTTTTAGCCTTTTTATTCAAGAGTGCTAGGGTAGAGATACAAGGAGGACAAAGACACTATTTAAGAATCTGGGGCTAGGTGTGTTGCTTCACACCTATAATCCCAGCACTTTGGGAAACCAAAATGGGAGGATTGCTTGAGTCCAGGAGTTCGAGACCAGCATAGCAAGATTCTGTCTCTACAAAAAAAAATTGAAAAATTAGGTGGGTGTAGTGGTGCATGCTTGTAGTCCTAGGTACTAGGAGACTGAGGAGAGAAGATTGCTTGAGCCCAAGAGGTTGGGGCTGCAGTGAGCTATGATTCTGCCTGGGTGACAGAGTGGCTCGCGCCTATAATCCCAGCATTGGGAGGCTGAGGTGAGAAGATTGCCTGAGATCACAGGTTTGAGACCAGCCTAGGCAATTTGGCGAGACCTCATCTCTACAATAAAAAAAAAAATTAACCAGACATGGTGGCACATCCTGTAGTTCCAGCTACTTGGAAGACTGAAGACTGAGGTGGAAGGATCACCTGAACCTAGCAGGTTGAGACTGCAGTGGCTGGGAGCGTGCCACTGCCCTCCAGCCTGAGTGACATAGTGAGACTCCAACTCAAAAAATATATAATAATAATAATAATTAAGAAAGAAAGAATTGGGAAGTTGCAGTCATACCGCCAGTCAGCAGTCCTCTTCACATTCACTCAGATTCTCCTTGATTCATTCAAGGACAATTGAGAACAGTGACGTCCTTGGACAAATTTAATGATCGAAAGGCTTGCTGAACCTCATTACTAAAAGTGAATTAAACTTGATAATTGAAGATGGTTTCATTTTGGTTGTCAAGTGAGACTGAAAAACATTTTATATGAAGAAATGGCTTCTGCTTTTTCCTTCTTAATCTGTCTACCTTCTCGGCATTTTACTCACTTGAAAAATACAGGGCTTCAGAAACAAAAATAATTTTCTTGTTTCTTACTTCAGAACATGTTGGTGGAAAGTGGGTGAAGTTCTGCATTACTTGGCAAAGGGAGAGGGAGTGAGACATTGTGTAAGCTGCAGGGTAACTTCTGCTGTTGGTAAAACTGACTTTGAAGTTTTACTAGAAGCCTTAGTGAAGCTGCGTGGTAAGACTCCTGTCGCGCATTTTCTCACACTAAGCAGCAGGAACCATGTTGCTGTGCAGGACTCTATTCAGAGCCATGGTGGGAAGTGGGGAGCTCCGTGGGAATGAGCAGTGAAACCTCGCACTTACTATTTAATATAAAATTTTCTTTGGGGATTTTGAATCTTACTATTTGCTTATTAAATTCTTAGTGCTTAAATGAGATTACCCTTTCCCTTGACATTCATCTTGACATAGAGGAGAACTTTTTCCCTAATTGCCAAGTGGGACCAGCTGAAAATAATGTCAAATGTTAGGAGTCAAGACATTAACCAGACTCTAAGGATTGGGTCACCCAGTGTCTTCCAAATTGTTTCTAGGGAATAACGCTGTTATTCAGGGAACTCTCCCCCAACTTCCCTGTGTTCCACTAAACAAAACTGTATTACTTTCATCAGAAAATAAATTCCTCTGTTTCAGTTCTCCTTTATGCAAGCATAAATGAAATCTTGCTTTATTTTAGAAAGAAAATAACTTCTTTACAGTTTTGTGTTGTCTTGAGTTTTTAATGCAGCACGGTAGTTCACTGAAGCATAAGCGCCTTAGTTCTGCTCTTATTTTGTGAATGGTGAGAATTCCATTCGGGCCAACCAGCATTTTAATGCCGCAGGCAGATAACATCTTTCGTCCACAGTGCAAGGCAGTGGTTGTACAATAGAAATATTTGAGAACATCTAGGAGCTGGGTTTCTAAGGCATGACATACAGGAGGAAAATAGTGTAATGGGACACAGCAACAGAGGATGTTAATTCATTTTCTTAACATTTTATTTCCTTTTATTTCCCTATATTTTTGACTTAAGAAAAGATAGATCGGTTGTTAGGAAACTATTTTTACACAGGATGTTGCTGCTGCTCTGTTCACTGAATAGTGTATTTCCATATGTAAGGCACATATGTCACCCAATCATAAATAACTTGGTATCCCAACAAACCTCCCTGGCAAAAGCGAGTGATAGGTAATTCCTTCACTTTTAAGTCACACCTCAAACTGAGTTGAATTATCTGTATCCTTGATTTGGTTTCCTGCCTAATAAGGTTTTAAATGTGCAGCCATAACCACTTCTCTGATGTGTGTTAGTCTGTCATCAGTCAGTACTTTGAGTGCCATTGCTTAAGCTTAACCTATAAATATCCACAAATATCCATTACAGAAGCAGGCAAGGGCAGATGTGCTAAGCAGCCTGAGGGCCCCACACTTGGAACTCACTTAGAAGCATGCTGTGTTTCAGTGCAGTATCTGATGGCTTCAAGGAATGTTCCATGTAGTAAGTGTTTTTCGTGGAAATATTTCTGATTTGTCCTGTGGACTTCTCTGCTTCCTTAACTGAATCATCTAGAAGAGAAATTGTTTAGCTAGATGAATATAATGTATTAACCAGTGCTGTACAAATAGATCTCATGATGTGAGACCAAAGAGTAAATGCCACCTGAGTCCAGCATTTCTTGGAGCTTAAAAAAACCAGTTTCTGATGTCTCTCTGTTTTTGGAATTTTTTTTTCAAGTGTGGTTTCTGCAGGAAGGAAAATTAAAGATTAATCTCTTCAATTTCTCATTTCTGAACCACGAATCCCCATTTCAATTTCATCCTATAATGGGATGAGCAGCCTGGACACCAGTGTGCCATACCTGCTTGCAGAGCAAGTTTATAACTCCAAGACTGAATGCTGTCTTGCTGTTGGCGTCTCTATTTTAGTTAGACTAAATTTGTAATTCAGGCTTAAACAGAATATCCTTTACTTTTTCTTATTTTAGGATGAGCTGTTTTTTAGACTATTTACTTAAAAACTTACTGAGTCTGCTTTATTTGAAGAAAGAGCAGTGAGAGAGTCAGGAAACCCAGCTCTAGACCTGGCTCAGGGAGTAATGTGACTTCAGGCTAATCACTTAGCTTCTTTAGTCTTCAGTTTTTTAAAAATCTCTAGAATGGTTCTGTAATAAGAGGTTACTCAGATTTTCTCTAAGTACTGAAGTTGTACTAACTAATATGGCACTCAGTTATTATTTTCTCTAGCCTTTCCTCAAAGTTTTTGAAAACAACTTTCTAGACAACATAAAAATTGCAACTTGAAGCTGTCATAAAAATAAAAGTTATAGCCGGGCTCGGTGGCTCAGCCTGTAATCCCGCGCCTTTGGGAGGCTGGGGTGAGTGGATTGCCTGAGCTCGCGGGTTCGAGACCCACCTGGGCAGCGAGACCTCATCTCTACAATAAATCAAAAAATCAGCCGGGCGTGGTAGCGCGTGCCTGTAATTCCAGCTACTTGGAAGGCTGAGGTGGAAGGATCGCCAGAGCCCAGCAGTTTGAGGCTGCGGTGGCCGGGAGCAGCCACTGCACTCCAGTCTGGGCGACCGAGTGAGACTCCAACTCAAAAAATAAAAAATAAAAATAAAAATAAAAGTTATACTCAGGTCACTGATTAAATCTTTTCTACAAAGAGATCGTGTCCAGATTCATCCTCCAAGTAACTAGTAAAATTAGAGAGGTCACCTTAGAGTTGGCAGCAAATGATAAGAGGATTCCTAGGCAGTAACTTTGCTTTCTTAGGGTAAGGCCTACAGTTGCCCCAAAATAGTATAGCTTTGATATGGCTAGATAAACTCTGCTTTGAAGCGATCTTTTCCTGAATATAATCAACCGGGAAAAATTATTGTTAAAATACCTCATACCAGTTTGTGTTCATAACCAATACGTGGTTTGTGGGCCACACTATAATAAGTACTGGTTTAGCCGCTTTGGTTTGGTTGGGTGCATCCTATTGTCCTGTTCCCTTGTTTTCAAAATCTTCATGTTGAGATTTCTACCCAGCTTTGTTTCTTCCCCAGCTATCTCTAATAAGCCTAAATATCATGTAGGTTATTGTATTATCTTATAGTTGCCTGCTTAAACTGGTATTCAGAAGCATTTAACACCACCCTGTTAGTGGTTGTTGAATGACTTTAGTGGTGCTTTATATATGATGACTGCTTGATACCAGGCACACTTCCATGCCTGGCTTTCTCAGTTCTTGCTGGAATTGTGTGGCTTTTTCTTGTTTGCAGACCTCTGGCATGGCACTTTGGTTCTCTACTTAGCTGTGGAGTGGCACGTGCACTGCATGGTAATCATTCCTGCTGAGGACTGTGTAGAAGGCCTTTCAGCCTCTGTGTGTGTTCTGAGGGCTAATGAGAGCCAATTTAGGTGGTTTTTGTCACCTTCCCAGCCCCCACTGCAGACTTGTTCTAGCTTCCCCTACTTTGTAACTGGCTCTTTTCTCAGGAGTACCTCCTGTGTGGCTGCCTTTATATAAACCTTACTGATGCCCATGCTTTTTCTTTTATCTGTTTGCTTTTTGCCTAGCTTTGCTAGTTGTTTTTCTTTATCTTTCTCCTTTTTAAATCATGTTCTCTTGTTTGTTTCTCCTGACTCCTGTACTGCCTTGTTTTTGCAGCAGCTGCCTTGAATCTTTGAGTCTGTACTCAGGGCTTGCCTTTGGTATACATTTGCATGTCCCTTACCTTTGGTGTATTTTTTTTGTTTTGAGGTGACACCCAATTAAGGAATTATTCTAGAAGTCCAGGAGTTCCAGAAAACCCAGACACCTTGCATTTATTGTATTATATTACTCGCAATTCTCTCCTGTGGAGATAATTATGTTTGGGGATCTCAGGGGCTTCCTATAGTGACCGGTTATACGAATCATACATTAAACTGTTTAGTGAACTGCAGCACTTTTCCTTGTTAATCATTACTAACATTTTATCATCATCATCATCATGTGACTTTCTGACTTCATCTTCCATGCTGAGCATTTTCTCCTGCTTTTGCATATGCTTGTCCCCCCGTTCTGATACCCCCTTTTTCTCCATTCTTTGCATAGTCACTTCCTACTTGACCTTCATTTTTCTGTAGGACATCATTTACCCCAATTCTTTCACCTTCCAGAGAACTGTGGATACTCCATTTCCAGCTCAGAGCATACTAATCTCTTAACCTCCTTCTGTCTCCACTCTCAGTCCTCAAACATGCTGCTCTAGCAATACAGTTGTCTCTGCAAGACTCCAGGCACGTCCCTTCCCCCACATACCCACATGGTGACTCCTGTTCTTCTTTCATCTTTGCTTACATATAACCTAGTCAGTGAGGCCTGTCCTGACAGCCTCATTTCAAGTGCTCCCTCACCTGCCCTTCCCTCCGCATTCTTTCCCTTTGTTACTTTACCTTTCTCCAAAGCACCTACCACTATCTGACATACCGTGTACTTACCGATTAAAATTGATTATCTGGTCTCTTTGCTCTGATGTAAGTCTTATGCAGGTAGGGATTTTGCTCCCTGCCATATCCCTAATTGCCTAGAACAGGGCTTTGTATATGATGGGGTTATATATAATTATTGAACGAATAAACCATCAGTTACTTCTCTCTTTCCCTAGTATATAGTAAGCTCCTTGAGAGCAGGAAACATGTTTTAGTTCTTATATTTATATAACATTATAAATACTTGCAAGTGATTGGTAAATTGTCACTTCGGTGGCTACATGCCTTCAGATGAGATTTAATACTAAATCTTTCTATATTGGCTCTTGGGTTGTATTCAGAAGAGTATTGTGTTATGATAAAATTATAGTGAAACAAAAGCAATGAATACCTTTGGGGACTTTATGATTTTATAGAATGATTGTCAGATATACTGCCTTGCAATTTAGGATGTTAATGTTACCCTTTTTCCTTTTACATATACACACATGCAGATTCACTATTAAAGTATTTTAATTAGATCTTAGAGGATTTTTATGTTTGGGGCTGATTTAGTTTTAGACCTAGTCTTTTTTATTTATTTGTTTGTTTTTTTTAGAAAGCAGAATTTATTGAGAGGACAGAAAAGCTCCTACAGTGGGAGGGGACCCGAAGGGGTTGCCCTAGGCCTAGTCTTTACAATTCTTACTTTCCATGTTAAAAAAGAAAAATCTCATTTTATTGGTTTCTACCTCTTATCCTCAAAGGGCACAATCTGCTTCTTGCTTTCCTTTCTAGATATAATAGATTAAATTATAAGACTTCACCACTTTAACTGTACACTTCCTTTCTTAGGAATCAGAGAAGATCATTGCTGAGTTGAATGAAACCTGGGAAGAGAAGCTTCGTAAAACAGAGGCCATCAGAATGGAGAGGTTAGGAGGTTAAAATCTGAGAACATTTTTAAGTTTTCTAGGGAATTTAAATTACTTTTATAGCCCCCGCACTTTGGGAGGCTGAGGTGAAAGGATTGCTTAAGGTCTGTTCGAGGCCAACCTAGACAGCATAGTGAGACCCCCATCTCTACAAAAAATAGAATAAATGAAGACAGTACTATGGTGTGTGCCTGTAGTCCCAGCTACCTGGGAGGCTGAGGCAGAAGGATTGCTTGAGCCCAGGAGTTCGAGGCTGCAGTGAGCCATGATCGCAATACTGTACTCCAACCTGGGTGACAAGAGCAAGACCCTGTCTCTTAATAAATAAATAAATAACTTTTATAGTGAGAAAAGATGAAATAGAAGTTAAAAGCAAACCGCCGGGCATGGTGGCTCAAGCCTGTAATCCCAGCACTTTGGGAGGCCAAGGCGAAAGGAGTTCGAGACCAGCCTGGACAACTTGGTGAGACCTCGTCTCTACAATAAATCATAAAATTAGCTGAGCGTGGTGGCACATGCCTGTAGTTCCAGCTACCTGGAAGGCTGAGGTGGAAGGATCACCTGAGCCCAGCAGATTGAGTCTGCGGTGGTGGTGAGTGTGGCACAGCACTCCAGCCTGGGCGACAGTGAGACTCCAACTCAAAAACAAAAACAAAAACAAAAAACCTGTCCTTCAAAACATGAAACAAAAAAATACACCTGGTGGGCTTATGGCCAGTTGAATTTACACTTTGAAGTGAAATCTACATATTTAAATGTCCTCTAGGGAGTCATGTGCTTAATAGTTACCATACTGTATGTTGCTAGGGATCTGTAAAAAATGAAATATATTGAAGGATAGAGTTTTTCATTTGCATAAAGTAGTCTTCCTTTGATAATGGTCCACATCCAACTAGCTACTCTGATTATTGTCTTTCACAGTTATCGTCTCTACAGTCTCTTTGGTAAGAGGTAGTAGCTTGGGATGCAAACTTTTAAAAATCCCTATTTTGTCTTAGCCTCTATCATTTCTCTACCGTGAAGGTGTGCATAACATGAAATTATACTTTTGCCATTGGAATAAACACATATTTTTAAAATGTTAGTTCCTGTCTTATCCTTTCATGGAAGATGAAGCAGAAGTGAGTTCTAGCGTACTGATACAGTAAATGTAACAAACATTGAGAATTTTCTTATTTATTAATAGAGATTTTAATCTAGAATTATTGAACCAAAATGATGGTAGGCATGGGAGCATAACTTTTGAGAAAATTACATTTATAGACCATATTGCCTATACCAAAATGACTTTTGATTACTTTTTTGATTTTGAAGAAATGGTTCTTTGAGTTAGATGCGTAGCTTTCAGGACTATGCTTTTCTTTTTTATATTAATAGGCATATTATTTATGAATTATTGTCTGTTTCCAAAGTCAGATGAAGCAAAGTTCTTATCTGGTTGAATATAACCTAGCATGGTTTAATTTATTTTGAATATGATGTTTGACTTAAAAATAATTTCTCAATGATGAGACAAGCACATATTGTACATTTGCATTACTGGCTTTAAATATAACCAGTTGTTTTTGCTCTGCATGCTTATTTTCCAGTTCATATTAGGCTGATCTAATTTGCATTTTGTTGTTGGTATTCTGATGTATTCTAGAGAGGCCTTGTTGGCTGAGATGGGTGTTGCCATTCGGGAAGATGGAGGAACCCTAGGGGTTTTCTCACCTAAAAAGGTAGGAAACAATGTGTGAAACTCAACCAAAGGGAGACACTTTTTGTTTGTCTTAGTCACTGGGGTGCTTCCTGTCATTCAGGGCTGTTCCCATCCCCTTTTTATCTTGATACTTGGCTTTGTTTCAGGTATATCTATCTGATTTCATCTCAGAGCCTGTACTATAAAGTACAAAAACAGCATATATCTAAAATGCCAGTTACTGTGTTGACTGTTTATAAAAGTAAGAACCCTCAGGCAGTAAATCTGTAACTTTTAGGCTTAATTCGTCATGTTTCAATATGTTTCAATATGTTTCATCATGTTTGTTGTTGCTTTCTCTTAAATTCCCAACCTAACCTAGTGTACCTTGCTTCAGTTTCGGCTACTCTTTCTGTGTAGATTTTCCCACAGAAGTAATCTGCCCTACTTTATAACTTTTTGGAACCAATTTCAGCTGTTCAGGTTTGTGTAGGATGATACTGCTTCCGTTTCCTTCTACAGTTTGTATTGTAGACAACCATTATACTGAGTAAAGCAGTTCCTATCCTTATCCTTCTAGATTCCTTTGTTTTCCTTTCAGTTTGTTTTTTAAAGAAAATGACTCCAGTAGTTACCTTCCTACTTATGTAATCATAGTTGAAAAGTAGTTAGGTACCTTTTAGCTAATTAGAATATTAAGTTTTTTTTAACTAAGTTGCAACTTAATTATTTTTGGATACCGAAAAACAATTATCAGAAGATTATTTTGTGTGCTTATTTATATGACAATAAGAAAATATATTGAAGCCGGGCTCGGTGGCTCAGCCTGTAATCCCGCGCCTTTGGGAGGCTGAGGTGAGTGGATTGCCTGAGCCCGCAGGTTCGAGACCCGCCTGGGCAGTGAGACCTCATCTCTACAATAAATAAAAAAATCAGCCAGGCGTGGTAGTGTGCGCCTGTAATTCCGGCTACTTGGAAGGCTGAGGTGGAAGGATCACCGGAGCCCAGCAGGTCGAGGCTGCGGTGGCCGGAAGCGGCCACTGCACTCCAGTCTGGGTGACAGAGTGAGACTCCAACTCAAAAAAAAAAATATATTGATATACAAAGTATATATTTTATATCTCAAATTGGCCACTGGAGACTTAAACGTCTTCATACACAGGTTCTAATGATAGATGATCTTTCTCGGTTACGATACAAGGAGTGGTGAGTTTTGAATTAGTATTTTCATTTTATGTGATATGAATTATTCCTGTGATTTTTGCTGGGATTTTTTTGGTTAGGTTTTTCCATCATGGTGACAAAGCATTTTTAGAAATTCCAGTGTCTCATTTTCAACAGAAAAGATTAATTGAAAGACATAGTGTAGAATTAGAACAGTAAGTATTTTATGTGTTTATATTATGAAAGGTCAGTGGTTTTCACAGTTTTAATAAGTTTTCCTTCCTAAGATATGTATTTATTCAGGCATATTACTTATGATTGTATGGATTTTAGCAGTTATATTTTTTATAGAATTTAAATTGTGCCTTTGTGTATATCTAATGGTATTTCATAATGTCTTTCAGTGTTTAAAATTGTGGGGAAAATTTTTGTAACAACTTGCAAAAATATTATAGTATTTAATACAAATCATAAATAACTTGAACAAGTGTTGAAATATAAGCAGTGTGGCATTCCAAACTGAAACCTCTACTTCCGAAGCTTTTTCTTACTTTAATTTTACCCATCTTGCTTTAGCTTTCTAGAATTTCCCAGGAAAGAAAGCAATATACCAGTGACCACATCCAAACTCAGTTTTAGAATCTGTTCCTGAGATTCCCTTTTTCTTAGGCCACTATCATGATGTACTTTAAAGAACACTGCCCAAAGGGCTCTGACTTTCTCAAACCAATCAAATTCTTAAACTGCAAAGGTAGATGCTAGTAAAGAACATGTAGAGGTTTTTCTAATTTCTCTTTAATCATTATTTCAGTCTCTTTTCTTTCCCCCCTTATCTGATTCTTCTTTCATTTTTCCATATTTGCTGGCACTATCTTGAGTAGATTTTGGCCCCAAGACCATGTGACTTATTTTTGGATTCCAGTGGGGTATTTTCACCAAAGAAGGTTGGTTTTTTTTTTAAAGATTTTAGAAATATTAGAGTTAGATTAGAAGAGAATTTTTAGAAAATGTTTGTATTGTTGAATGTCAGTAATCTTAATTTTTTCCTTAAGTCAAATACAATAACTGGGATCATGAAAGAACTGATCAAATTTATAGTGGCAGAGATATGGTGGGGGCATTTTAATAGAAGTAAAATAAAAATTAGTCTTTCTTGATATTTTTGCCCAGGTATTTACAAAAATTATAATTAATCCACACAGAAAATCGACCTGTCTTAATTTTTCCCTTGTACTTTCACTTTATCATGAAAGGGAGTCTTATTTTTTATCCCAAAATTCATGTTTTAGAAATAGAATGCATTGGTGCAGTTTGGGGAGGCCTGAAGAAAGTGTTTTTTCTTTTTTATGGAATTGCAACTAGAAATAAAAGAAGTCCCTCTGTAGACACTGTGGGGAGTTGGAGAAGCCTGGCCTGCCCTATTGTTGCCAGATCCCTCTCAGTGCCTTGCTCTGAATTGATAATCTGTAACCTTTTTCAGACCCCACATCTTGTTAACCTCAATGAAGACCCACTAATGTCCGAGTGCCTGCTTTATTACATCAAAGATGGAATTACAAGGTATATTTCAGTCTTGTTTTGGTCACTGAATGTACCCCCCTTAGATAATTGAATAACTGAAGGGAAGTTGTTGAATAATTTAATGTCATGCTTTGCAGTTTTTCTTGTCTCAAATAGTTACAAACTATCTCTTTTTTCCACATTATATAAGTGTTTTAGTGGAGCCAGTTAACATGTAATTTTAAGCTAAAAGACCCTATATAAATTGTTTCCTTTTAACAACTTATATGAATTCCTTGGGTAGTTTATTTCACTCTGTCTTTTTATATTGCTGTATGAGTTACACTGGTGTGTTGCTACTCCTTGGTATCTTATTCTGATGTAGGAAGGTTGATCCTTACGAGAATAGAATTTGCAGTTGAAAGCTTCTGATACAAAAAGGCAATACCTTTTTTGTTCATACCAAAGGGTATTCTTTGGGAGAAAGAGGTTCATTGTTTGTAGTGCTTTTTGTGTCTGAATTTCCCTGGGAAACACTTTCTCTTGTGTTCAGGGTTGGCCAAGCAGATGCTGAGCGTCGCCAGGACATAGTGCTGAGTGGGGCTCACATTAAAGAAGAGCATTGTATCTTTCGAAGTGAGAGAAACAGCAGTGGAGAAGGTGAGAGTTCACGGCTTCTCCAACCATTTTTTTACTTGATATTATGAGAAATCCTTAAGATTTGGTATTCCCTATCTTTGTCATTGATACTTTCTTACATAGTCTAATATTGAAAAATGGAGAAACCTGGGCTGCTTATAAATGCAAGGATGGACATAGCTGCTTTACATGAAAATAGCCTGGACAAAAGGAGCCCCTTTGTTACTGCCAAGAACTGAGCAGGACATAGGCAATTAGGCTTGGACTTGAATGTTAATGATTTAATAGAAAAGCAAGGAAAGAACAAATATCCTGGGTAATAGAAGATCTGAAGGATCGCAAGTCTTAAGCCTGTAAAATTTATTTTATCTAAAAGGAAAGAAAAAGTCCATCTTAATTTTTGCCTGGGTTATTAGCAGAACAACAATAATTTCATACTATATAATTCACTTCTTCCTTAATCAAAATATTTGCTCTTTAATCTTCAGTTTCTAGTTATTACCTGCATCTCATCCTTATGGTTTCTGATAGTTTTCTATTTTATTGTCTGAAGCGTCAGATAACACCAAAACTAATATTTTCTATCATTTCTTCGGAGGTTTGCAAGTTCAGTTAAATATTTCTATCTTAGCCTCTTCTGTCGGGGCTGGGCCTGGTACCCTGAGATGAACTGCTATGTAGATGCTTCAGCCATGTGAATTTATTGCAGGAATTCATTCTTTGCCAACCAGTCATGGTTAACAGAGCTCTTGATTATAAGAAGTTACCATGAATCCTGATAGTCAAGTGCTTTCCATTATTTGATTCCAGTGGTTTGTGATGATAACATTAGTTTGTTTTTCTCTTAGTTATCGTGACTCTAGAGCCCTGTGAGCGCTCAGAAACCTATGTAAATGGCAAGAGGGTGGCCCAGTCTGTTCAGCTGCGTTCAGGTGAGACTGGGAGAGGTTTGGCAACTTCAGCAATGTACACATGGCTTGTGTGAGCAACTGTGATTTCTGACACCTTATTTAAAGGCTGAAGAGATAGTCAGAATTTGGATTTTTGCTCCTGTAAAAACTCCATAAGCTGTCTTTTTGCATTAGGGAGAGTAGGATTATTAAACTAGATACTATACATTTTAAAAATGATTTCTTAACCCTATTTTTGTTTTGTGCTAGGAAACCGTATCATCATGGGTAAAAACCATGTTTTTCGTTTTAACCACCCGGAACAAGCACGAGCTGAGCGGGAGAAGACTCCTTCTGCTGAGACCCCATCTGAGCCTGTGGACTGGACATTTGCCCAGAGAGAGCTTCTGGAAAAACAAGGAATTGATATGAAACAGGAGATGGAGAAAAGGTAATATACAAATATTATGCGGCCTGCATGACTGTCTCTTCTTTTAAACATAAAGTATTCATGAAATAGCTAAGTGACTTTATAATTTATCCTGTTTTTTTTTCCTTCTAGGCTACAGGAAATGGAGATCTTATACAAAAAGGAGAAGGAAGAAGCAGATCTTCTTTTGGAACAGCAGAGACTGGTAGGCGTTTATCCTGAGTCTGCTATTAGGAAAAAGGCGGCTTGTTCCCATACCTTCTCTGTTCCACAGACCAGCACTCACCCAAATTGCTTATCTCTCATTGAAACCACACGCTATTCTTTCATTTCCTTAATGGAGAATGAACTTAAATCTCCTGGTAGCCTTGGCCTGAAAAACTGTTTATAGAGGTGCTCTTTTGGACCTTTCATGTCTTAAAGTCAAAACTTCTATCAAAATTAAGTACTTTTTGAGGAAATAGAGCTTTTCTGGTAACCTTTGTCTCTTGATAGTGGTTTTGGAATTTGCATCAATAGTGGTTCTTTCAATGATAATTACTCTGAATATTGAATTTGGTGGGAGTTTGCCTTGGTTTTGTTTCTGATCACCTGATAGTACTAATTCTCTGCTCTTGGGCTGACTTGGGGATTGTTCTTGTGCTGGGCAGATTTTTTTTTTTTAAATTAAACTGTGTCTAAAAGTGTTGCTGCACAGTTGCATGTGTTACTCCTTTCCTGTTCCCCTGCATGGAGTCTGAATTCTCAACCACGTTCTCAGTGGCATGTGTGGTGGTGGTGGGAGCAGAGGCTGCATACCCAGCCCAGACAGGACAGGAGGTCCACTTCCTTTGGGGCAAGGAAGGATTTGAGTGAGCAGCTGGAAAGTCAGTTTAAGGTCCCAGCTATAATACTAATAGCTTTAGCATTTATGATGTTAATTGATTTCCCAGGTTTGATATAAACAGAATCTCATGAATAAGTAAGTTGATCTGTTAGTAGATTTTTATTTTTAAAGCCAACCAGTCGTCGTTAACAAAGCTCTTGATTATAAGAAGTTTTTCAGCGTTCATTTGAAATGTAAGAACCAAGTATAACCTTTGGATACAGTGGATGCAGTTTAAAAAGTTCTCATTTTTAAAGATCCATGGGAGAAAGCCTGGACACTGGCTTCTTCCCACAGCACAAAATATGGCATGTTGAACTACAGCCTTAAAGTCATGCTCTGTGCTTTGGAGAAGGGGATATTGCCAAATAGTCCAAAAAATTCAAAGATTTAAACAAAAGCAACCTTCTCCAGTACATTTCAGTTCTCATCCTTGGCCATTAATGAACTGGTTAGTTTATTATCTTGGAAATTATAATAAAGCCCCAAAAAGAATGAATTGTAAGAATAAATCAAAGGTTTGGGGCAACGTAATAGCAGTGTTACAGATATAGGAGGCCTAGTTGGCATTTAGTTTTAATGAAAACAGATCTAGCTACAATGTGATTAGGGGCTTGAAAGGTTTGTGACACATGGAGAGAAGCCTGTTATCTTTGTAATGTAGTACAATCTAATGACATGCCTTTGATGGTCTGTGAGAGGTCAAATGAGGATAGGTATAATTAAGCTCTATTTATTATTAATAATAGTACCTTGTATCTGTGTAGTGCTTTGTAATTTACAGAGAGCTTTAATGTCCATTATTTTATTTGATCCCTGAAACAACTCTCTTTGGTAGGCGTGTATATAAGTAAAACATGTATTTATGACCTCTAATTTATAGTAGAGGAAACCAAGACTTAAAAAGTACTGTCTTACCCACTCTTAAACACCTGATATCATGGGTCTGAGGCTTAAACTGGATGTTTTGACTTGCTTCTTGTTTTGCCAGTTGGAATACTGCTTATCAACCACCTCAGGGTCTTGCTAAAATGTAGATTCTGATTGAGTAGGTCTGGGTTGGGACTTGAGCTTCTGCATTTCTAACAAGTTCCCAGGTATTGCCCATGCTGCTGGGCCTGGGACCACATTTTGAAAAACCAAGCATGACAGAGTGAGGATGCCTTGGTGCTCCACATCACCAAGAGTTGGTGATCATTCTATGCCCTAAAATAAAGATGTTGGCCATTAAATTAAGAGAATATATTTAGTTTCTAGGGGACATGTATAGTCTTCAGATAATCAGGTTCTGGATGTCATTTGCTTTGTGTTTCAGAAAGCAAGCTAGGATTTCAAGAGCAGCTTCTTAAAGCAAGGAAGTTGCATTCCTACCCCAAAGTCTCCCTGTCTATTCCACTAAAATTTCTTGATTTTGACCAGGCTTAATGGCTCAGCCTATAGTCCCAGTACTTTGGGAGGCCGAAGCCAGTAGATTGCCTGAGCCCACCGGTTCATGACCAGCCCGGGCAACTTGGCGAGACCTCGTCTCCACAATAAATCAAAAAATTAGCCGAGCACTGTAGCACATGCCTATAGTTTCAGCTACTTAGAAGGCAGAGGTGGGAGGATTGCTGAAGCCTAGCAGGATGATGCTGAGGTGGCTGTAAGTGTGCTACTGCACTCCAGCCTAGGCAACTGAGTGAGTCTCTGACTCAAAAAAAAAAAAAATTCCTTGATTTCAAGAGGAACTGATTTCTGACTCTTTTGTCTGAAGAATATCTACCAGTAGCAATACTGAATGGAAAATGTCTTTTTAGTACCCTATATTTATCTACCAACAGATATATTTCTAATGCACCCTGTGAATAAACATGGAAAAGATTCACAGGAATGATTATTTAATACATATTTATTTTATACTTATTACATGTCATTTTTCACATAATGATAGCATTACAAATGGAATTCGGGCTCATGAGTTTTCATCTATGATAGTTCCCCAGATGCACCATGTTTTTATGTTGCTGAGCATTCCCTTATAGTTAGTGCTCTGTTATATACCTGGTCCCTTCTGTGCTTGCTTTTTCTGCACACAGTTTTAGGTGTCTTTTCTTATTTGCATAAGCTCCTTGCAGAGTTTTATTAGAAGGTCCACTTTGTATTTGGTAGTTAATGAAAACAGAACGATCATTTAGTGACATGTGAATTGGCCAGACCAATTTATCATTTGTGTTCTATTTTACGATTTAAAGCTATAACTTTTGCCTCTCAAGCATGTTATTAAAGCAATGCTTAGAATATTTGTCACTTCCTAAATTAGGTAATAGTCATTTTATCCTTAAGCAATTTGAAGAGGAAAAGAAAAACAGCCAGGAAAAAAAGTGATAGCTGTCAGTTATGTGGGAAGAATCCAAGAGAATTTGGTTATGTTCTGTATGTAGTTTATACATACTTGAAAAAAAAAAAAAGAAACCTTTTCAGGAGTCAGATTTACTTTTTACTTTAATGTTTATTAATGTCATCTTTTATCATTTAAGATTAGCCATTCTGATTTTTAAAACTAAAAGTGAAAAAGAAAAAAACAGTGCAGAGTCTGTAAATTGAGCTTTACTGCTTTTTGTTGCTAAATTAAGTACTCATAGATCAGTAGAAATAATATAATTCGATAACACATTTTAATTCAGAGGCCAAATTATTGTCATTATTGTTGAAGGTTATTTTTTCATTTCTTAGAAAGTGACTATATATTACAAATGTATGGTCTAGCTGGGCATAGTGGCTGCCTGCCTGTAGTCCTAGCTACTCTGGAGGCTGTGGCGGAAGAATTGCTTGAGCTCAGGAGTTTGAGACCAACCAGTCTGGGCCTTTGTCTCAAAAAAACAAAAAAACACAAAAAAGGTCTAGAAAGCAAGATAATATTTATCAGTTTCAATTCCTTAAAAAAAAAATCCCTCTAGAAATATTTTTTATAATCTCAGATAAGAAAAAGAGAGTAAGTATCAATATTTTCATTTATTAGACCATTTTGAGCTAACCATCTAGTGAGAAGTATTTTCTATTCCCAGCAATTTTTATTTCCTGAATAGAAATTCTTCCTAATTCTATTAATTATTTGGAATTCTAAGTCCAGTATTGCTTTCATAGAAATCCATATTATCAAGATTTGGTGGTGTTAGTTAAGAGCTATTGGTTATTATCCAGATAGCCCTTGTGACTACATTGTTGTGAAGTCAGGCTGCCATTTTATGCCCAAGTAAAGTTTTTTGATAAAGAGGTAATGGTGCAAAGAAAGCTTAAAAGACAGAGTTAAAGATACATTTTAAAGTGGATTTATTTTACACAAGCAGAATATAATCCTTGTATTTTACGTGTTTATTGGAAGAGTTGTCACTTAAAGTGATAGTCCTTAAATAGCTAGGAATGCTATCTAGATAGAAAACATCTCTGATTTGTGTTTTAAAAATATTGTTTGAGGAATTTAAAACTCTGTTCAATGGAAGTATATTTCCTAGTTTAATTTTTGTTCTGGTGATTTATTTCTCAAAATTTTGGAGGTGAGGTATTTATTGATTTAGTGTCTAAAAAATAAAAATAAACACATTCATTATAAGGATCCTTTTTTAAAATGCTTCCTTGTTATTAGATAACAAACTTTAATTGTACAATTGAAATGGATTAACTAGCATGACAAAAGAAAGTATCCAATATCTTGCTCATGGAAAGACTAGTTTCAAAATTCTCTTTTCTTATAGAAAAAAAAAATTGATTGATAAGAACCTCACATGATCTGCTAATAGGGATTCTTAGCACTTTTAACAGTATCCCTGTGTGACTGCTTCTTTTTCTACATTCTCATTCTAACTTTTTTCTAGGACTGCTCTTTCTAGTAAAGCTAAACAAAACTTGGCGTCCTACAGCCTTACTAACCTTTGTTAACCCGCCTGCTCGTCACATCTTTGTATGGCATCTGTGCTCACTCATGGGGGAAGGAGATTCTGGAAGAAGCAACAGCAATAACCAAGGCAAATGTGGGGAAGTGGCTGCATGGGTTGTTAGCATGTGTGGGGCTTAGGTTTTGCTTCATTTTCTTGAGATAGTGGGGATCTTATGTCAAACCATTTGATGAATTTCATATGACTTTAGAGTGAGAAACTTACCCCTGTGTCAATCCTCCTAAGAAATTTGGTGGCACATTTCATCACTTAAGCCAGAAAGTAGAAATTTGGATTAGCTTTACTAAATAAACAAATCTTTATTTTAATAGCAATCTACATATGCCTATGTCTTAAAAGACTTACACATTATTGAGGGTTTTTTTGTTTGTTTTGTTTTTGGTTTTGTTTTTAAATTTGGTTAAGACT